CTTGCATGGATATTGATCTTGGGATGTACACCAAATAAAAAAATATATGACGTGAAATTTGCCTTACTTAAAGATAACATTCGTCGAGGTGAGCTTCATAATCTTTGATTACCTATATTTATATTTCAAAAGAATTGGACATAATTTATTGACAAAAAAAGTCAAACGGATTATAGACATAACTTAGGTAATCTTCTCTTGTTGTAACAATTTTGTAAAATTATCATAGTATAATTTGATTTATATAGTCTACTGGAAATACATAAGTATTATCCAAGCCGAAATTAATTTTTTAATGTCAAAATATAACTATATAGTTAAAGAACTAGCTGAGGATATTTTTTTTTAAATGTACATGTATACTCATTATGAAAACACTTGTGAATACTCATAAAAAATTCGGCATTTTATGCATCAGAGAAGACATCATTGATTCCCCAATAGAATCAGATGCACGTATAATGAACAAATTAATGTTTGTTTTGAAAAATTATTTCTGTAGCATATTTTTCAAACAAAATAGTCTGATATAAGCAAAATTTATTTGAAGTAAGTAAATTTGAAAATGAATGCTTTTGTATACACACATGTACTATTGATATCAGTCTTCTTACTTCATTCTTTTTGCCATTAATGTTAAATTTTTATTTAAATATTAGTTATAATTCTCATTTTTATTCAAACTCGATTTAATTGATAGGCATTAAATACATGTAGTTACTGTACCTTAGTTTTACATGGATTGCAAATATTTGTGATACATAGTAAAATAGTAGAGAATTTAAAAATTGACATGCATTAATTTAAATTTAAAAAATCTGAATAATTTGAAATATTTATGGCATTTACCAATAATCATATTATCAGAATTCAAGTATAATTTTAACCTTTTACTGTGGTTAATTTAAAAACAGACTATATGTCACCTGTAATTAATTTCTTTTGTTCTTCCCCTCCCCTTACCTGTGCACCATTCCCACCTAGCCAAAACCAGTCACCTGTAACAATTTCAGAATTTTGGCTAAGTGGGAAGACACCATTTGTAAGTACCGTATTACATGTATCTATAAATGCCAGTCAAATTGCAATAGCCAAGAGGTGTGAAATCATCTTTAGTTCATAAGCCATACACAAAATTTTATGTTGTAGCAATGAGCAAGTATAGTAAAACTATATTTGTAACATATAATAGTATAACAAGTTCCTTGTTGCCAAAATTCTTCATATGCATAAAGAAGAAGTGTTTGCATTAAGAGGACATTTCCTTAGATTGAAAATGTCTTGTGACAGCAAATTATGAAATATGTTATCTCTTAATATGTACCTTGTTTTAATAACAATATTGAAGTGTGTTAAGAATAAAGAAAAACTGATCAAAGTACACAACAAATTGAATAGCCAAATGACAAAACTCTCATAAACTAAACAAATTTTGCTTGAAAATTGACACAAGGGAATAATTTGTATTTCCTTATATAACTAAGAATTTCTTTTAATCAAATGATTTTCTTTTTAAGTTAACCAAGTTTTTCATAACAATGTTTTTCTCCAAAGATATGCTGATCATTGCAGAAAAAAATCAGTTTATTTGTTTAAAGTGGAATTCTTGGAGCTGAGTTCCATGTACATGGTGTAGGCAAGATTATGGTACATCATGACAGGAGGTACCTTCTAAAGGAACTGATGAGTGAATCTGAATCTGTCCGCAAGTTCTCACATAGTATACTTCATAACACAAAATAAATCTGCACTTGAAATAATGTCTATTTGAATAGAATCCTATTTAAACTAACTTCTATTATTAAGTTTTTTTTTGGGGGGGGGGGGGGGGGTTATATTCTTGATTGAGAAGCATATTAGAAGGATTCATTAAAAAGCTGGATAACTAAGCTGTCTTGATTTTAGAACAAAACTCATGGAATAGAAAAGATGTAGAATTTGATAGTTTTCCAAAAATTTGTTGCCTAAGAAATTATTTGGGTTCATGCACCTATGATAGACCTGTTCTAATTTTATTTTAAAAATGGAATATTGTTCATCCTTATTCATTGTAAATTCATTTCATATTTAGAGAAAGCATGATGAGATATATGTACATGTATGTGTTTTTCAAAACCATGTCTTGTATCTATATATATAGCTTTGTTGTGGGTAACCAGTATTGGTGACTATTCAAAACTGGTCATTTCAGGTGAAGGAATCAAGGTGCAATGCTTTAATGACATTATCACTTTGAACTTTTACCTTTTTTTTAAGCGAGTGAGGTTTAGCACTGACCACAAGAAACCTGAATCTTCTGATCAATTTTGTCATTTTAGCTGTGCTTCTTAATCTTGCTGTACTCAGATGTCAGTGAAATGAATCAACAGAGTGGGTTTCCTATTTGCAGGAAGTTTGTTGTTCTCTGTCTGTGGATAAGAGGTCTTTCAAAATCTGCCGGTACCTGGTACTTTTACCTGGCTGAAATCATGATTGTACTGGCCAAAATATTTATTGAAGAAAAATTCAATAACTTTACATATTTTATTTAAGTCCCTTCCACAAGGTATCTCCTATTTTTGTAGAAGTACCACCTGTTTTTAATCTTTTTGAAAGCCCTGGGACAGTTTTGGTTTGATCATTGTCTCAAAATGGATTCAGCAACCTATAGGTATTATTCTTGAATTGGGAATTCTTGTCAGCAGTTAATCTGGACATAGTGACTTTCTATAAACTACTTACATTGTCCAAGTCTGACGCAGTAATGCCATCATATTAGTGATCTATATAAAGCTAAGTACTCCAAGACTGAGATAAGAGGACATGTGCATGATTGATGAATTGCATTATGGGTCCTCTGGGAAAATGTCTCAAAAATTAAGTTCAATTCAGACAAAAAAGAGAAGCTTAATTTATGGTATGTGTGCGTTCTGAAAACCATATTTTTTTCCTTTTGATGTGCTGCGTGGGGTTCTTTTCCAAGACATTTGTCCTGAGAGAATTGTCCTGGAAGTGGAATTTTAAACATCTGAAGATGATAGCTATCTAACTGTAATCCTTTTTGATAAAAAATACAGAATTTCTTCCACTGTTAAGATTAGAGGGTGAGTTTTTGACTCATGAAGTCTGACATCAAGCTACTAAGATATGAGAGTTGTGAACAGATTTAGGAGGAGATTACAGGGGGGGGGGGGGGGGGGGGGCTACCCAAACCACTTTCTGTGAAATCTGCCTTCCCTCCTCCTTTGGTAGGATGAGTCTACACTTGGAATTTGTTTCAGATGTAAGTTTAAAATGTGATGCATATATATATATTTACATTTATTTGTGAGATAAGAATTTTTAAAGAGGTTAGGCTGTTAAGATATATTATCTAAGTGTGTATAAATGTGTCCCTATTTATTTGTCATGAGAAGAAGGAATTGAATAGATCAAAAGAGTTTTAATTCAACAAGAAAGTGGTACTACATTGTATTAAAAAAAAGTCTTCTATGAAGAAAATAATAGAAGCCAAATCAAATATAAATATTTTATGTGTGTGTTTTATGAGTTTATTTTAACTGGGCATCAGAAGTGAAGTCAATGTTATTTAGATATGGTTTCCATTATGTATGGCTTTATCAAGGTGTAGATGATAATGTATTATTTTTAAAAGAGTTTGTACAAAGAGTACAGGATAACTATATGCAGGAATGGCACTCATCATTGAGCTCCTATAGTAAATTAGATTTTTATTGTAAATTCAAAATTCTTTTTGAACCAGAAAGGTACATAGATGTTATAAACAATACGTTTTTTAGAGAATCACTTTGTAAATTAAGAACTTCTAGTCACTGTTTGGAAATAGAACACGGTCGATTTAAGGGTATTCCTAGAGAAAACAGGTACTGTCTCTTTTGTCAAATAGCAAATAAAACATGTATTGAGGATGAAGAGCACTTTGTAGAAAATTGTGAATTATATATGGATATTAGAGTAAAATGTAATATTTTGAAACACTTGAGATTTTATAAAAACACTGTGAATATGTTTATATATGGAAATGATGTAGTTTTAAATGATATTGCAAAATTTTCTTTTTTAGCTTTCAAAGAGAGAGAAAAGTTCATTGAAAATTTAATATGTGACAAATGAAAAGCATAAATTCATATGTTCCCACATTATATATATGTTTAAATATGTGAGTCTGATCTGAAATTGTAAATCTATCATTTTAATATATGATTGTACTTTGGGCCGGTGGCCTGTAATACTCAATAAATATCCTGAATTGAATGAGTTTATTTTCTTTGCAATTATACCTCAATTGCCTCAATTCAGTAAATGATTTATTCAACACAGTTACCTAGTGAATATATGTAGGTTGATGAAGGTTCATTGGATATTGTAGCTATTTTATTCTGATATTTCATAATTACTTGCTAACTTCTTTTTCTTCCCTAGATGAATATAATTAGTATTGGCAGACTATTGGGAAGCTCTTTTGGAAATTAACTTCACCCTGGCAAATGTCTCGAGAGATTATTCTTAACCTAATAACAAGCTTTACTTCATGTCGATTTTTTTCTGATTAGGAGAGTAAATCTTAGTTATTAGATGATAATTAAATTGTTAAAAGGCAGGGTTCAAAAAGTTATCTAATATCTATGAAATATTTTCAAATCAATTTGGGTTTTTTAAATTTTCTCTTGGGGGGGGGGGGGTATTCAAAATCTGTCAATAAGGTGAAAGGAATCATTTATTGAATTTGATAAATAATTTATTTATTTATAAATAATTTAATTGAGTGAACAAAATTCATAACCAGAAAACAGGAATAGAGATAACATTTATAAGTGTAAAATTATTTAGAATTTGATAGTATATTTTTTTCAACAATTAGTACAATGATTTAAAATCAGTTTCATTATTACCTGATCATGTATTGGTCTGGCTGGCTTTTGGAAGGGGAGAGATAGTGTAAACCCTGGTTGATACATTTAATATTCCTTGACATTGTTTAACTCATTTTATTGTTACAGATGGACTGTTCATGTATGGAGCTGGCTTTGGAGGGGGAGAGACAGTGTAAAGCCGGGGACTGTCGAACGGGGGTTCAGTTCTTTGAGGCAGCAGTTCAGTCTGGTACAGATGACCTCAAGACACTCAGTGCTATCTACAGTCAACTGGGAAATGCTTATTTTTACCTACAAGAGTATGGAAAAGCCCTGGAATATCATAAACTTGATCTATCTTTGGCAAGGTAAATGTAGATTATAATTTTAGAATTTGCTATCGTTTTAGCTCACCAGGACAAATATCAGGAGATCTTCTGTAGATACCGGTACTGTAAATTCCATTTTTTCCACAGAATCATAAATCATGGAATTGTAATTAAATTAAATTTTGACTCATGCCTAATGCAAAATTAAGCCACATGTCTGTGGTCAGATGTAAGTACTTTGCTATTTTTGAGTGACAAACAAAGGAAAATAAAGTTTTTCTCCAAAAATGCATACAGACTATGATATGTCAGTGTATAATCTGCTCTGCACAAGGTGACTTGATTTGCAGATGATGTCATAATAGCCTTTGTGTATCAATAAAATTTTAATTTGCACTAGTTTACTTTGCATTAACTGTCATGTGAATGCACTTCAAAGTTGATTAAAATGATATTTTGCTTACTTTAAGGACTAGAATCATCAAATCTTGTCAGTTGATGCATCTTAGGACGTCATATCATGTTGACTAAAAAGTAGGTCATGGTGACCTACTTTTAAAATTTTGTGTCCATTCTTTTTCAAATTGATTTAGAGGCATATTTTGAACAATTCAAGGTCTATGATCATCAAACTTTGTCAGTTGTTGCATCTTGGGTCCTCGGAGTATGTCAACTAAAAAGTAGGTCACCATAACCTACTTTCTGAATTAATGGTTAATCTTTTTCAAAACATTTAAGGTAATTAATTCAAATACTGAGAGGTTAAGAATCATTAAATCTTGTAATATGATGCATCTTGGGGCCATAAATCATATTTATAAAAAAAAAAAAGTAGTTAACAGTGACTTACTTTTTGAACTTTGCAGGCATTCGATTTCAGAGCATTTTGTAGGCATATTTTGGACATTTTAAGGCCTATGATCATAAAACTTTTGAAATTTATATGGCTATAATAAAATATTTTGGTTACTAATTGGCTTAGAATCATCAAACTTTGTCAGTTGATGCATCTTGGGTCCCCAGAGTAGGTCAACAAAAATGTAGGTCACTGTGACCTACTTTTCAATTTATATGGCTATAATTAAATATTTTTGGGGGGTATTAATTGGCTTAGAATCAACAAACTTTGTCAGTTGATGCATCTTGGGTCTTTGAAGAATGTCAACCAAAAAGTAGGTCACTGTGACCTACTTTTGAAATTTATATGGCTTTAATTATATATTCCAGGTACTAATTGGCTTAGAATCATCTAGTAGGTCACTGTAACCTACTTTTCAATTTATTTATTGGTTACATTTAAATATTTTCAGGTCCTAATTGGCTAAGAATCATCAAATCGTCAATTGATGCATCTTAGATACTCGGAGAATGTCAACCAAAAAGTAGGTCACCGTGACCTACTTTCAAAATTTTATGGCTATATTTAGATATCTCAGGTACTTATTGGCTTAGAATCACAGACTTTGTCAATTGATGCATCTTGGGTCTTGGGAGAACATCAACTAAAAAGTAGGTCACCTTGACCTACTTTTGAAATTTTATGGCTATTTTTATATAACCCAAGAACTAATTGGATTTGAATCATCAAACTTTGTCATTTGATGCATCTTGGGTTCTTGGAAAACATCATCTAGAAAGTAGGTCACCATGACCTACTTTTGAAATTTTATGGCAATATTTAAATATTTCAGATACTAATTGGCTAAGAATCATCAATCTTTGTCAGTTGATGCATCTTGGGTTCTCAGAATGTGTCAATTAAAAAGTAGGTCACAGTGACCTACTTTTTGAATGGCAAGGCAACATCTAAATATTTCAAATAATAAGAGTCTTTAAATCATCAAACTTTGTCAGTTGAGGCATATTTTGGTCTAGGAGTATGTTTACCAAAAAATTTGGAATCTCATGGCTATATCTGAATATTTAAGATAATAAGGGGCTTGAATCATCACACTTTGTCAATTGATTCATCTTGGGTTCTCAGAGTGTTTTAATCAAAATGTAGGTCATGCCGATCTACTTCTGGGATTTCAAGGCTTTATCTTAATATACAGGATACTTAGATGCATCAAATAGAAGTGATAGGTTGTACAATTTATCAGAAGAGCGATTCAAGGCTCTTGGGCCTCTTGAAATATACTTTTTAAAAATGTATTCATTTGTGAATATGTGTATAGATCTACATGTGTACCTATAGCGTACTAATAGAAATCAAAATATTTAACATAATTAAGGAATATGTAATAAATTTTAAATTTGGATTGTTACAACAACTTGAAAATAAAAGACGAATAAAGTTACTTATGTCATTAATTAAAAGTGCAGTATGTATGTCCTAAATTAAAAGCATAGTATGTCATAAAAGTACAGACAGTATTTGCTACATGTCTGACATTTTAACTATTCTTTCACAATGTACTTTCTAGCAGGACTTCAGTGAATGAGAATTTAATTTTTTAAAGATTTAAATGAAACTGAAATGCTGGCTTAAATCATGTATGATAGATTATTTTCAAGAGAAAAAAAGTAAAGTTCCTTTCATATTGATTTTTTTAGGATGAATCAACCATACAGGGAGACACTTGTGATAAATAACAATCTAGGAACATTTAACAGGCTTAGCATGACAAGAAATTGTAAAATTCTATTGATTTTTAAGTTATTAACTTGTTTAAGCTCAAGTGAAAATCATGTATGTGGATGAGGGATCCCATGAAATGCTTAAAATCAATTATTTCTCTTTGCTAAACTATGGCACCAGTCATATGTGTATTCTCAGATAGAAAAAAAAATGTCTTCTTGTCTTAGTTGGGAATTGAAAAAATAAGAATAAAAATCGTTAAAAGAAGTCACAGGAAAAAAATCAATAAAGTTCATCTCTGAGGAAAAAACCCATTTTCTTCAGTACCATTAGGTCTTGTGAAAAAAATGAGAATGTCATATACAGTCAAACCTGTCACAGCGACCACCTATATTTAGCGATTACCTGTCTTATGTTACCTTTAAATTTCCTCAAGAGAATTTTTCATTATATTTTACCTGCATTCAGAAAACTAACTATAGATTTATTAAAATTTGTGTAAATAACTACTTGTGTTATTATTATTTAGAATTTACACCATTGTACTTTGAAGCCAGAATATGATTCCCTCCTTGAAAAGAATTCCTTTCATATTTGATCATTATAGAATTTCCTTTAATAGGTTGTTTAATACAAGTTAATCCAAAATGGATGTATTTTGATGGAAATTTCAAACAAGTACTCCAGATGGTTTTCTGATTTGCCAAAGATTTTATAATGTCTTATTATAGGAAGTTAAAAAGGATGTGCAAAATATTTTAGAAATTTTAAATGTTATATAATACATGATGTAGACTGTATTAAAGCTACAGCAATTTAAATTTTTTTTTTTTAGTTTGATGAAGACTTTTTTTTTCCCAGAGTTGATATTTCATCTTGACATCATTGATTAGAATCATCTTGTTTAGTCAACAAAGATGAATCTTCATTTTAGAAAGTGATTGACTTAAAATCTAAAATATTTAATAGCTGGTATTACATTTCCTGATTTGACTCTGCATAAATTTCAGTTCTAGATAACAAAAGTAAAGTTACACTTTATTCCAAGCTCTTCAAGTCTTGTCTTGGAATTCAAGAATAATAGTTTATTTAATTATTACCGGGGTAATAGTAAATCGTTGAAAATTTTCAAGTCTTGAGAAAGAGATATGGAACTGTCATTGTTTTTGTTTTTCAGACTCACTCAAAAATTCAGTTCATTTTGTTTCTTTAATGATGAATAATTTAAATGGTGGGGTGCCAAAAAAATGATATCATCATAGCCAGAAATCAGCAGAGAATGTGTCATGCTATTTATAAACAACCAGTGTTACTGTTTGTTTGTTTTTTTTTTTAGTTTCTAAAGTATCCTTTCTTAGAAAATGTCTCATTTTCTGTTTTACGAGACAGCAATCCATGTAGGTAAATGGATTCCTAAAGAACAATTGGCTAGGATTTGTTAACACAGATTTTCCAATGTTTAGTCTGAGCGACTTTTTCAATGCAGTTGTAATGGTGCTCATTGCCTGTCTTAAATCTCGTAGACAAATTTTGTTTACAGAACCCTGGGAGATAAAGTTGGAGAAGCCAAAGCCAGCGGAAATTTAGGAAACACTCTCAAAGTATTGGGCAAATTTGATGAAGCTATTGCCTGTTGTAATCGACATTTAGAGATATCCCGGGAACTAGAGGATAAGGTGAGACAGAAATAGATGTACACAAAGTCAGTGATACATAACAAGCTGCAAACAATTAAAGAAATTTTGTAATTGCTTTTCAGGTTGTTTTTTTTTGGCAAATAAATATTGGTATTGCATTAGAAAGAAAAATGGAATTGAGTTGAAATAATTTGGTGATCGAGTTTTAAGTGGATTATCTATTAATTTCAGTAGTAAGGGCAATTTCATGAAAAAATTTGTTTTATAATTTTCAATTTTGCAAGGATATTTCGATAAAAAATCCTTTTTTATTGTGTTTTTTGTTTCTAAAGTTTTTTTTTTTTTTTTTTTTTTTTTTTTTTTTTGAGGTATCAGGAAGTGGTTGTTTTCCCTTCCCAGAAGATTTAAAATAGAATTTAGCAAAAGTATACATTGTGAGAATAAAGGGAAAAAACTTCTATTTCAGTGGGCAAATATAAATTTATTTAAAGGGAAGATTTTTTTTTTTAAATACATATATGCAGGAAACTAGATTTTAGAATTCCTAAATTCTTCTTTGCATTTTTGTAGGTTGGGGAGGCCAGAGCTTTATATAACCTTGGCAATGTGTATCACGCCAAAGGCAAACACACAGGTCGCTGTGGTGACCAGGATCCAGGGGAATTCCCTCTAGAGGTCAAAGAATCTCTTCAAAAGGCAGCTGAATTTTATGAGTAAGATATATGTTGAGGTAGCATTTATCTGTTGTAAATATACTAAATTGAACATTTTTCCATAACTTCTACTCCAAAAAATCAATAAAATGTTGAGAACATTTTGATTTAATGACAAATGTCAATTAAATCTCTGAAAAAAAAAATCATCCCTAAGTGTGACACAGATGAGTTATATAATCTGCATGTCTATTGCAGAAAAAAAAATTGGAACAAATCAAACCAGGAGACATGGTTGTCATAAAAATCACAGCAGGAGTGTTCTGTTATCTCTGAAATGACAGTCATATATGTTCAAAATGAGATTCTTGTTGGAAAGAACATTGCTAAAATTTACCCACAGAGAGCACTATTGATCTGTTTGCTCTGTCAAAAAGACATTAAAATGAGTGAGATCATAATTTGAGAGGTTGATACTAGACTTTTTTTTACCCATGGAATCATCTTTGGTAGAAGGAAAACATTTATTTGTCAATATTTCATTGGTTTAACATCACTAGTTGGATGCCCTTTTCTCAGTTCTGATATACCGTATTATTTAACACTGTATATGAATATGGGTCTCCTATAGTTAAAGGTTAATGTACTATATAGAAAAACTGAAGAGGAAAGGTTGTATAGGAAATTAGAAATATGTTTAAGACGTCACAATTCACTTGATGTGCGTCAGTTGGGATACACTTTACAATAAAGTAATCAATATATTGTTTTCCTTACACTGCAAGTAATTATTTTGAATAGAAAACTATTTTTCATTGCTTAGGAAGAATGATTAAAAATGTATATAGGTATATTGATGTAAAAAAAAAAAAGGAAACATCTGTATTGACTTCCTTTTAAAGGATACAGAGTAAATACATTTAATGACAAGATAAAAACTCTTTTAAAAGGAGAACTAGCATTATAGAACTAGTCATTGTGTGTACGTGTTTTTTATAAGATTCACAGTTTTGCACTGGTGAAGAAATCCTTTACTTCTTATTCATAAATACCCAAAAAAATATGATTTTATTTAGCTGTATTACATTAGAGGAAATGGGATCATTCATGATTGCATCAAATAGTCCTTGATCTGTGTTGTTGCTGCAGTTTGGATCTTTATTCCTTGCCCAGTTTTAGCCTTAAATCAACTGTTTTTTTCATCATATTTCTGTTATATTGATTTTTTTTAATGGAAAGTGCTTTCCATTAAATATTTGAGTAAAGAGTAGAATTACACAAAAAAAAAAAAAAAAAAAAAAAAATAAAGAACAGACTAAGTTCGTTTATAATAGTGTCATCAATATTTATGGAAATTGTCATCCCAGAAAATTAAAACATTAACAAATGCTAAAGCAGATGTAATAACAATCATACTTGTAAATAGAATGATCTGTTATTTTATTAGCTCAGTTTTCAAAATTATTGCACATTGATTTTAAAGTACTCATTGTGTCTGAGTTAAACAGGAAGAACAATACAGTAGTAATAAAATTATATTTAACTCTGATTTTATTCTTTTTTTTCCCCCAGAGGCAATCTACAAATCGTACGAGAAATTGGGGATAAGGCTGCACAAGGTCGAGCTTGTGGAAACCTTGGCAACACAAACTATCTCCTTGGTAACTTTAGTGCTGCCATCAGGTATCATGAAGAGGTAGGATTAGTTCCGTCATATAAAAATTGACAACTTCCTGTATATCACCTATAGTGTATCAAAAACAAGGATAATCACTTTGATTTCACTTTTGACAATGAAATCATTCACATAATTATGCCCCGCCATGAATGTGGCCGGGGCATACAGTGGTTGTCATGTCCGTCTTCCGTCCTTCCGTCACACTTTGCATTTAGCTCTGTTCAAAGCTTAGTTTCAAAGAAACTATCCAAGATATTTTTATCAAACTTCATATGCTGATAGATATTGATGAGAGCTATGCAACTGCATCAACATTTTTTGACCTTGACCTTTCCTTTGACCTTGACCTCACTTTTCTTAAATTAGTGTTTAGCTCAGTTTTAAAGATACCATTCAAGATAGTGTAATCAAACTTCATATGTTGATACATACTGATGTAAGCTATTCAACTGCATCAACATTTTTTGACCTTGACCTTTCTTTGATCTTGACCTCACTTTTCTTAAATAAGTTTTTAGCTCAGTTTTAAAGATACCATTCAAGATAGTGTTATCAATCTTCATATGCTGATACATACTGATGAGAGCTATTTAACTGCATCAACATTTTTTGACCGTGACCTTTTCTTTGACTGACCTCACTTTTCTTAAATTAGTGTCAAACTTTATATGCTGATACATACTGATGAGAGCTATTCAACTGCATCAATATTTTTTGACTTTGACCTTTCCTTTGACCTTGACCTCACTTTTCTTAAATTAGTGCTTAGCTCAGTTTTGAAACCATTCATAATATTTTTATCGAACTTCATATGCTAATACATACTGATGTAACCTTTTCAACTGCATAAACAATTTTTGATCTTGACCTTTCATTTGACCTTGACCTCACTTTTCTTAAATTTGTGTCAAACTTCATATGCTGATACATACTAATGTAAGCTATTCAACTGCATCAATATTTTTTCACCTTGACCTTTCCTTTGTCCTTGACCTCACTTTTCTCAATTTGTGTTAAAATGTTGCATTACTAATATACCCTCGGCGGGGCATTCATGTCCTATGGACATATTTCTAGTTTTTTTTCTATCTTGATTGTTTTTCTTTAAATGTCATGTATTGCTTAAATAAATACTTAAAACAATAAATTCACAGAAAAATGTGTTCAATGCTCTACAGCCCCATGGAGTAGTTCATATCATATTAGGTACACTGCACTTAGGGTGCTGAGATTTACTACTTCTGACAAGTGATGTACAAATGAAAAACAATTTGTAATCAGGAATTAGAGTATTATACTAAGCACTTGAATGGACAACCAACATAAGTCTTAGTAGTGACACATCCATTTATCCCCTCACAAAAACATATAAACAAAGACATGCTGTATCCTGGACTTGTGACTTCATCAAGTATGAAGTTTTTGATTTGATTGTGTGTTGAAAACTTTACAGTTAATGTTAATTTTGAATAAACAATTTCTTCATTTTTTTTAATAGCCCACAATTCGATCTTAATTAGGGAGGTTTGAACAAATTGAACTTTTTACAGACAGCTTTTAAAGTAAATATTGTGTTTTCAAATTGACTGTCAACAGCCAGGCAATTAATGCACAATACTTGCATGAATATTGCATTATTGAATTTAATATACATGTAATTGTCATCTTCATGAAAGTGTTCATGTTTTAAAATTGGACTTAAACATGCTGGGAGAATTGTTATTCATAAAATATGAATTTGAGATTAGAGAGAAATTAGGAATCATTGAAATGTAAGATAAATTTTTTTTTTATACTCCAGGATCCAAGGTGGTCACCATGTTATTTTTGTCCTGTCTAAAATTTTGACATTTTCTCCAAAACTCTAATCTCTCTGATGTCCTCTCGATCTCATCTCCTTGAAATTTAGATGGAATCTTTTTAACTAAAAAATTAGAGACTTTGTTTTTGCAAAATTATAGAAGCATTGATATTAAGTAATCACCTTATCTGTCAGTCTGTGCATTTGTGTTCATGCCATAGATTTGTAATCGAGAAATACTGGAAGCTCATATTTGTAACAAAGATTGCCTATGACTAGAAAATGTGTTCTCATCTTAAATCAGGGTCATTTGGAAAGTTCATAGTCACTGGGGAAAAAATGTATGAAGTTGGAAATTCACACAAAGATTACTTATGACCTTAGATGTGTCCTGACCTTGACCCATGGTCCTGTCCTTTGGTCAAGTTCAAGGTCACTTTTTTAAAAAATGTATACAGTCAAACCTCGTTATCTTGAACTCGATGGGATCAAGCAAAACGTCGAGATATCCAAGGATTCAAGATATCAAGGGTAAAATGCCTAAAGAATAAGTGGTTGGGACTTCCATATCACTTCGACATATCCATGGTATTCGAGATATCAGTGTTCGAGATACCGAAGTTCAACTGTAATTCAAGTTCAAGGTAACTGGTGGAATAGGTGTATAATTCATGTTTGGTCCATAATTCTCTGATGGAGAAATATTGAAAGTCAATACTTGACACAAAGATTGCTTATGATTTGAGGGTGTTTTCTGATCATGACCAAAGGTCAGTGGCAGAAGAAATATATAATTTGTGCCAGGTCCATAACTTTCTTATAAAACATTGGAAGTTCATACTTCACACAAAGATTACTAAGACTTGATGGTGTGGCATGACTTGACCCTAGGTCCTTTGGCCAAGTTCAAGGTCACTTTTAAAAAAAATGTATTTTCATCCTTGCCATATCTTATAATGGAGAAGCATTGGAAGTTCTTTCTTGGCACAATGATTTCTTATGAGCTGAGGCTGTGATAGGTCCTTCACCCAAGATCATTTTGGCAAGTTCAATGTTCACTAGCAGAAAAACTGAATATTCTGAGTCTGGTCCATATCGTTATTAGAAATAAATATTGCATGTAGTGTTTTCAAAAGTATTGCAGGGGTGGGTTTGTGAACTTGCAAACAGTACCTGAAGTTTCACCAAATGTTTAGCCCATTTTCATCTTTAAAATGTACAAAAAGAGATGTAATTTTAGATGGGCAAAAACTGCAAAAATGATAGCATATTAATATTGATAATGATTTGATAATTGTAATGTAAAAAAAATAGAAGTTATTGAAAAGTCTTTTTTCATGAGTACTTTATAAACAGGTCTGTTTAATTTCACTATATTATTTCATCATGCAAATAAAGTTCTTGAGTGTGTAAAAAATTATCCTGAGCTTAATTATTTTTTGCATGTAAAGGGTATCTTAAACTTTGTCTCACAAAAATAATAAGTGAAATGTAATTGTTATTTACATCTTTTTGTATGTGATAAATTAAGAAGTCATTATCATAGACATCAAGAAAACTATTAGTGCAAATCCTGCTTTTTTATTTAAATATAAGAGACTAGTATATTCTATAGTTAATTGGGTCTACATGTGTATTTTTAAGCATTTGTGTTTGGTTTTTCCTTGATGATTAATAAGAAAGTTGGGATTGGTTGTTGAGAGAACTTATATTTGTAAAATGGAAATCTTTCTGGAATGAGAAAATAGAGGTTTTCTGAAAAGGAAGGTGTTGTGAATGATTTCATGTATTTTATGAAATAGAGTGTTCCTTTCAGAGGCTGGCTATTGCCAAAGAATTTGGTGACAAGCAGGCAGAAAGACGAGCATACAGCAATCTGGGAAATGCTCACATCTTCCTTGGTGAATTTGATGTAGCAGCAGAAAAATACAGGTAATGTACCATAAATCTGGAGATTTTTTACTGTCAAGGAGATTTTAGCAATTTCGCAAATGCAATGCATTTGCAAAAATAATTTAGAGATAAAATGACAAAAATATATTTTGTTGAGTGAGTTTTTTTCCTTTGATGGTAAAATTCATATACCTGTAAATGTACTTATTTCCACGAAGTCCTAATTCAGCAGAATCACAATTTCTGTTCAATCTGTGAGAATTAAATTATGTGGATGTCTTGCATTGCCATTGTGTCTCAAATGCACTTGAATTACACTGTGACACATTTCCATGGAAAGTTTATGACCGCGTACATGGCGTAAATTAATCAAACATGGAAAAGAGTATTCTACAGTATTTATAATTGCTTCTATTTGAATTATGCTGCACATGCAACATCTGCTATTTTTAGCTCTTCTGAGCCAAAGGCTCAAAGAGCTAATGCTATGGCCATTTGTGCGGTGTGCTTAAAATTTTTAGAATATGGGCCCTAACTCAAGAACCCCTTGGCAATTATTGTCAAATTTGTCACAAGGTATCCTTGGCCCAAGGGCTCCCTCTTATACTAACTAGGGTTGTGGCCCTTAAACAAGGGGAGATAATTTGGTGAATAAAACCAAAAGGACTGGTTGCTAAAGAATCTTCTCAAGAACCACTGGGCAGATTATCACCAAACTTACACAAAAGGATGAGGATATGTTGTAGATTAAAAATTGTTCAAGGCATCACCCTCGGGCAAAGGGCGTGGTCTCAAGGTCACTTCAAAGTTGACCAAAAATTACATTTTATTAAAATGTTGATATTTTGCTTATTCTAAGGACTAGGATCATCAAATCTTGTCAGGTGATGCATCTAAGGACCTCATATCATGTTGACTCAAAAGTAGGTCACGTTGACCTACTTTTTAAATTTTGTGGCCATTCTTTTTCAAAATGATTTAGAGGCATATTTTGAACAATTTAAGGCCTATGATCATCAAACTTTGTCAGTTGATGTATCTTGGGTCCTCAGAGTACATCAACCAAAAAGTAGGTCACCTTGACCTTTTTTTTGAATTTTATGGTTAATCTTTTCATAACAATAAAGGTCATTAATTCGAATACTGAGAGGTTTAGAATCATTAAATCTTGTAAGATGATACATATTTATTAAAAAGTAAGTCACAGTGACCTACTTTTTGAACTTTGCAGACATTCAATTTCAAAGCATTTTAGAGGCATAATTTGGACATTTTAAGGCCTATGATCATAGATCTTTGTAAGTTGATGCATCTTGGGTCCTCAAAAAACATCACCGTGACCTACTTTTGAAATTTTATGGCTGTATTTAATATTTTCGGGTACTGTATGGCTAAGAAACATCAAAATTTGTAAGTTGATGTATCTTGGGCCCTTCAAGTAGGTCAACTGAAAAGTAGGTCACCTTGACCTACTTTTGAAAATTTATGGCTTTAATGAAATATTTCAGGTACTAATTGGCTTGGAATCATCAAACTTTGTCAGTTGCTGCATCTTGGGTCCTTGGAGTAGTACGACAAATGAAAAGTAGGTCACCATGACCTACTTTTGAAATTTTATGGCTGTATTTAATGTTTTCAGGTACTATTTGGCTTAGAATCATCAAACTTTATCAGTTGCTGAATCTTGGGTCCTCGGAGTATGACAACTGAAAAGTAGGTTACCCTGACTATATGGCTATAATGAAATATTTTGGTCACTAATTGGCTATAATGAAATATTTTGGTCATTAATTGGCTTAGAATCATCAAACTTTGTCAGTTGATGCATCTTGGGTCCTCAAAGTATGTCATTTGAAAAGTAGGTCACTGTGACCTACTTTTGAAATTTTATGGTTATAATTAAATATTTTAGGTATTAATTGGCTTAGAATCATCAAACTTAGTTGATGCATTTTGGGTCCTCAGAGATTGACAAGTGATAAGTAGGTCACCATGACCCACTCAGGTACTTATTGGCTTAGAATCATCTTAGGTTCTCAGAATGTTTCATCTAAAATATAGGTCATGATGACCTATGTTTGGAATTTCAAGGCTTTATCTAAATATACAGGATACTTAGAGGCTTCAAAGAGAAGTGATGTACAGTTTTTCAGAAGAGTGATTCAAGGCCCTTGGGCCTTTTGTTTTTAACTTTATCATTCTGACAGTGTTAGTTACCCTTGAATATATTTTTTTAACCTCAAATGAACTTGTCTATTTCAGTAAGTCAATTATTTTTATTTGAAAGTTTGTTTACATGAATATATTCTTGTACGTAGATGAAATTTTGCATGATTGATAAAACATACTTGAAATTTTTTCCTAGTGCTCAGGTGAATTTGCAAAATATAAAAATCAAAATTGATATAAAATTAAACATGTAGCTTTTTGACCCAGAATTGCAAAAATAAATATGTGTAAAAAAAAAAAAAAAAAAAAAAAAAAAATTCCAAAATTTTTGCAGTGTATGCATTGGCTTATATAAATCGATAATCTCTGAATGATTTGGTAATGGAATATCCATATTAATCCCTGCCCCCTTTTTAAAAAGAAGAAAAAAGTCTTAAAGAATATCAAACCTGGATTTATTTTGTAGGAAAACTCTACAGATAGCAAAGCTTCTAGGTGACAAAGCTTTAGAGGCTCAGGCTTGTTACAGCTTGGGGAATACTTACACACTACTCCGAGATTATGAGAAGGCTATTGAGTACCATATGAGGCATTTACAGATTGCTCAGGAACTAACTGACAGGGTGGGAGAGGGCCGGGCCTGTTGGAGTCTGGGCAATGCCCACACGGCCCTGGGCAACCATGAGGATGCTATGCAGTTTGCCAGTCAGCATTTACAGATCTCTAAAGAAGTATCAATTTTGTTTTGAATTTAATGATCACTCTTTTGAGTAGGCTCAGCACTGCCAACCCTTACAATTTTGGCATAATTAAAGGCTATGTTTTCCATGTCTAAAATACACCTTATTTTTTTTCTATATATTCTTCCAATTTTCATTTTTCTCGATGAAGAGTCTGAATTACCAGAATTTTCATAGCTTTCCACCCTAAGTTTTCACTACTCTAATTAAAAAAAAACATAATCCTTAGGGCATTTGTTTGTCTTATCATTGTACGTTTCTGTGCTAACTTGAGAACAAAATCATTTTAAAGTCAGCAAAATGAAGAAAAAAATATCCAATGGCTGGGGCTGAAGCAGCCCCTGGACTCCCTCATTACGATTTTTCATTTCATGATGTTGGCAGCTCTGTAGGCTTTACAAATATGTTCTTCAGGAAAATTTTATCAGGCACAAAAGATGAAAGCAATATGAGAGATAGATATATCAATATTGCAAACTAGTTGAGGTTTAAAAATGGCTCATATTCATACTCAGTTTTTCCCTAATTAAATTAAGCAGATGTTTTCTCAAAAGTTCTTGCAAGCATTCATGTAAAGTGTAGGTTCTCAAGTTTGTTCAAAACATAACCTTAGGGACTAAGTTGGGGCCACAACTGGAGAAATGAGTTTTAGATGAGTATGTAGACATGCGGAAGAATAAATTTTGCAGTTACTAAAGTCAAATTATCTTTTCTTATTTTTACAAAATTTAATTTTAAGATTTTTTAACTCTATATACTACATATAAACAGAAGATTGATTGGTTGATATGAATTTTTACAGATAGGAGATGAGACGGGACAACTGACAGCTCAGATGAATTTAGCTGATCTAAGACAGGTGCTTGGAATCAACGGAAATGTCAATCAGTAAGTCATTCAGCAGATTCAAGGGATAGTTTAGACCTAATATTTTCCTGATTTGTTGCCTCCCTCCCCCCCAAAAAAAAATGACTTCAAAGGAGCTTTTTTATAGGAACTCTAATAACCTTGGGTGAAGAAATCTAAAAATATTTCAAATATAATGTAGATCACCAAATTTTTACGACACCTTATTTTCACAAGATTGTCATTGGGTATTTGTAAGCGAGACATAATTTTCAAGAATTTTTGTTTTAGTTTTAGTTCCATGTAATCTTTTTCTTATACAAATAAACATTAGAATTAAATTTTTGCATGTCGTCTCTCATATTTACGCAAAAATTAAGTTCTCGCTTATAAAAAGTGATTTACAGTAGTATTAATTACCATTTTTTCTTTTCACACAGACATTCAGATGAAAAAGATGTTGGAATAAGTAAGTCTTTTATGTTATTGTTGAAATAAGTACAAAATTTATGTTTTTAAAATTTTCTGAAATAATATACAGTACATAATTTAGCAAGTTTATGATTTGAGAAGATGATCTAATGGTGCAATATGTTAAACTTGGCCAATGTAATTTTTCCCATTTTGTTATTTTTAGGTCGTCGACCATTTAGAAGACATAGTATGGAAAATATGGAATTGATGAAGTTAACGCCAGACAAAAAGGCAAGCACATTTGTAGAATATCACATAACAGGTATTTTCTGTGGTTGTCCATATTTGGGGGAATTTTGCAGCTAGGACTGATCCAAAAAAAATTACAATCACAAATTTTTCAAAAAATATAAATTCAGATATTCTACAAGTGCATCTTTTATTATCAAATATGATAATTAGTTAAAACTACAGCTTGATTAATGATATTTCATAACTGTTGACAGTACATTTAAAGAAATATATTCGTACTGAAGAAAAACATTAAATTAAGTGATTTGAAAATAATGAGACTCAATTTTAAAGTATTGTGAACAAGGTCAACATGTCATTAGATCTTAAAACATGGCATTTTTTTTTTATGAATCTTTAGCATTTGGGAGTTATTTCCCATTAACTGTAACAGCCCCAGAAATTAAAATTGCAGAAATTAATTTGCTACCTTTCAGAGGTCAAATCGCAAACATTTCCAACCCATAGAAAATACCCATTATACGGTATATATATTTTTACTGGAGAATGATATAGATCAGGTAAAATGTGATTTTTTTTTCAATTATTATTAATGTTCGTGTATTTTGAAATTTTTTTTATCTTACAGGGAGAGACTGGTGGGGCCAGACCAAAGATGAACAAATTCATGAAATCTGCCAGTGTGGCTGTAGAGGTAGATAGGGAGAAGAAAGAAAAAGTAAGAATTTAAAAGCTGAGGGAAAATTATAGTAAATAAGAAAAAAATGAAATAAGAATAAGCATAGGGGTAAAAATACCATTGATATATATACTGTGAACCTGTGTCAGCATATGCCTGCTGTGAAAAAGAGACACATATATGTGTCTTTTCAGACTTACTATGCAAAACATGGAGGGGGGACCTACATGTATCTAAAGACAGACTATTCTTTATCCCAAATACCAAAATACACATTCACATAAATTCACTTGACATTATTTGAAAAACTCTAGCTCTACTTAGAAAGAGCACCAGAAATACATGTACATAAATTTATGTAGCTATTGTTTATTACTGTCATATGTTATACATGCACTTTGTATGGGTCTGCATTTACAATGCATGTTTACTTTCTACAGTTATCTACTCATGAGGAGATGAGTGAGGATTCATTCTTTGACCTATTGAGTAAGTTCCAGAGCCGACGAATTGATGATCAAAGGTGCTCGTTTAAACCAATGGAATCGAAACCAGACAGCAATGGGGATCAGCTGAAAAAAGATACAGGTACTCACTTCTGTATTTATAATCTGAAGTTCAACAGAGAACAAAGGGGAAATACCTTAAAAACAATTTTACAGTGTTGATAGTGAGTGTTAAAATTTTTCTGAATGTGTAAAAATAAAAAAAAAGTAGAAGTTGCTCTTTTTTAGCTCACCTCAGCCAAGTTGAGATGAGTTTAAGTTATTTACTCTGCACTCATTTCCCAGGTTAAAGTTTTTAGAGCAGGTCTATTCACAAATAATAGTTACACCTGGACCTAACTAGCTGGGATGTTGCCTTTAGGGATGTTTACTCGGCCCATATTTTCCATTTGAGTAGCCAAGTTAAAGATTTTCTGAGCAAGTACATTCTTTGGTAACTGTTCGCCCTTCCTAAACCAAATTTACAAAAATTATGCATAATTCTGCAATCTTGCTTTGATGCTAAATTTTCCACATTTGTTACAATAATATTGTTATTAGCTGTAAGTTTTTTCATCTCAATGAACATTCATTTAATTTGAGGCTTTAAATCACTTATTGATTGAATTTTGTGAGTTGAGCTTTATTATACTCTCTGCAACAAAATACTGGAATCACTGTATCCAACTATCCATTTGCATGTCTGTAGATCCAAAGTTGAGATCAGCATTAGGGTCATTTTTCTGTTTATCTCAAAGGGATCCAGGCCAAACTTGCATATGATGCATCTGTAAATACTTTCATATGACGTGTGCCTTGATTGAGCTCCCACAGGGGGTATCAGTGCTGTTAGGACAACTTCAGTTATCTCTACTTATCATTGATTACAGATGGGGAAGAATTTCTTGATATGGTGGCAGGAATCCAGAGTTCTCGAATGAACGATCAAAGAGCAGAACTTCCCCGGTATCCAGGTCTGAATTCACAGGAAGTTATCAGCCAGTATCTCCACAGTCAGCCAACGGAAGAACCCGACGATGCTTTCTTTGAAATGTTGATGCGTTGTCAGGTATAACTTAGAGGGAAACTTGATAAAGCAGGATGAAGTTTAGTTTTCAATGGTTAAATTCTACAGGGAAAGTTTTTTTTGTCACATTTCTTCCAGTTCAGTGGCTCATTGCTGCATCAAATGATCAGTGTTATTTGATTATTTCCTTTACTGGAACTTTGGAGTTATATATACATTGTATTATGATTGAATTAATTTTCTCAGCCTGAATGCTTTCTTTTAATTAAGGAAAAAAACATGATGAAAGAAAAAAATATGAATTACTGTACAGCAGGAAATTAACTCGCGGAGTTAATATTCGCTATATTCGCGGAAATAGAACTTCCGTGAATTCAAGATACAGTGAATAATTCTTCAAAAATTAATAAGGATATGTTGAAATATTACCGATATCTGTGATTAGATTCGTTAACTCTATTTGTGTTTCCTTGCAAGCATAACAGCAGTAATTAATATAGCGGAGATATAGGCTGTCTTCCTAATTTTGCGGGTGAACGGATCAATTACTAACACGTAGTTGTTGATTTTTTTTAAAGCTTAATTGATAAAAACATCTATAACTGCCACCCAGTAGAGGTGCAATGTAATCATCTATAAAACATGTATTGTTAGATTTCACCCGTGCGTATCACTCAGTCTTATTATCTTTAATCAAGGCACTTACGTAGTAAAGACAACACTGTTACACATTAATTCAATTTTATTAACAGTTCAACATTTTGATTATCGGTACTGATTTAGATTCAGAGGGATTTAAACATACTGCAGTAAATACTACTCTGTACGCTACTCAAAACATACTTATGAACGAACACCTGCCAAAGGGCTTCTTTTTTGTACATGAATGTTTTGGATACGACTTGAAATCACTTGAATAAATCACTCGAGTATAGACTCATATATATTTCAAAAATATTTAACAAAAAAAAAAAGAGAGAAAACACGAGAAAGAAAGAAAAAAATTATCTGAATGCATAATATTGTAAATCGTACAACATTTTGTCTTCTAATCGGGATCAGTATGGTGTTTCGTTTTGGGTTCAGAATCGACATAATACGTAAGGAAAATATTTGCAGTGCTGAAAAAAGTTTTTGTATATTAATTTTTCCTTTCCGCGAATTCAAACGACTGCGATTTGCTGCAAGTTGAACAAATCGCGATCTTTTCCGACAGCGATTTTAACCTGCTGTACAGTATATAATTGTATTAATGAATTCATTTGAGTTATGTAACAGAAATAATAAACCAATGACAACAATTTTATTTAATTTTTTTAATTATTATTTTTGGGGGAAAATATAAAATTCCTTCAATGAATGTAAAAATGGGCCTCCATTTCTTTTTCCCCCCAAAGCATGAAATATGCTATTACATATATAAAAATGAGACCAATTGTTGAGATTTTGGATGCTATGATGGTATTACTCATTGAAGCTAATTCTCTTGCAGGGTAGCAGGATAGAGGACCAGAGAAGTGCAATGCCCCCGCCACGACCAGCTCCAACTGTTCCTGATGAGGACTTTTTCAGTTTAATTCAAAAAGTGCAGTCAAGTCGTTTGGAAGAACAAAGAACTACATTACCTAAATTAGTCCCAGAAACCACAGGCAAAAAGAAGAAAAAATAGCCCTATAATTGTAAAAAAAAAAGATAGCAAAACACTGTACTTATTTATTTTTTACTGTTAGTGAATTTTTTTTAAACGCTTGATGTGTATATAAACATAAAGATAAGCTTGGCTTTTGTGATGCCAACTTGTGGTATACATGTAGGTGCTTAGCACAAAAATGTGTGAAAATATATTTTTATAAATGTTTTAAAATGATTTTTTCAAAAGGTATCTTTACAGTTTTGTGGATATGATAATGAAAAATAGAGTCCTCAACAAGTTGTAAAATTCATTTCACACGAGTCCAGAGGTCAAGTTGGGGCTTGTTCTTTGCCTGAGAAATTTGTGATACTCAGGTGAGAGTCTAGGGCCAATTGATCTTCTTTTCCATGTGTAAATCTCATTAAAAAAATTATTACAGCATTATATATGATACATGGTGGACGAGACCAAAATAAATACCTTTTGTTGAGATTTGCTAAATTTCATCTCAAAAGGAAAAGGGCATAACAGCAATATATACGGACATTTAAATCACAGACCTGCCCTTTGGTAGGAAGGGATCTCATATTATTATTGCATTTGTTTTACATGTTGTATATTAGCCAGAAATCTGTATTTTTCATTCTAAGTTGTAGCCAAATTAATGTATTAAAGGCCCAGTCCAGAGAAGCCTTTGAAAAAATTTCCATATAAAGAAGAAATTATGAAAATATCAAAAAATAACATTGCAATTCTTTTAAACCTTATTGTTTACCACACAGACTGGCCACACAGACTGGAATTGCCAAAGATAATGGGAATACAAGACTAGGGCAATCCCCTGCTCTGAGACAATATTCAATTTCAGAGTTCACAGAAAAGTTATACTTTCCTAAAATTGTATTTTCAATAATGTAATCTTCAATACATTTGAGTAATTTATTTTATTGAACAACTTATTAATTGATAATTGGTTTTTAAAGTTGACAGTTAAGCATATTTAGAAGGAAATGGGTTTATTAGAGCCAAAAAAATGATTTTTGAACATGAATGGGTCAGGTTTCCATTCTTCAGTAATGTTTAAATTATGGAAATCTATTTTTATGTTTCAAAAAACGGAGTCTGAACCCATTTTATATAAAAATTGAACTTTTTATTCTTTTATTTAAATCACACCAACACACATCTAAGTTATGTAGACATCGTAGTGTACTGGTTAACGCGTTCAGTCTTGTGCCAAATCATGAGCTTTCGAGAGAGTTCGAAGCTTTTTTTTTTCTTTTTACATACCTTAAAACATGGGTGAAAAAATTATTTATCAATAATTTATTCCATAAAATACAGAAAGTGAATGTTTAAAAGCAATATTGAAAATACAATTTTTGACAAATATAACTTTTCATGAACTTTTAGAATTGAGAAATGTCTTTTCTCAGATTTGGGTATTGTCTTCACCTTGTACACCTCCATTCTTTAGAAGCTCTAAAGATCTATTAAGGTACATGCAGGTGTAAAGTTTTTTAAAAAAAAAATCTTGAGTCAGAGAAATGTACGGTTGAACTTTGTTATCTTGAACATATATCTCAAATTCGAGGAATATGTCAAAGTGAGTTGACAGTCCAAACCCATTTTTCTTTATGTATTTCAACCTTGTTATCTCGAATTCTCAGATACCTTGAAGTTAAATCTCAGTTCAATCAAGTTTGAGATAACAAGGTTAGACTGTATATGGTATTTCTAGTTATTACCTCACATCACATTTTATGTACTTATCTGAGATTGAAATTCCTAGGAATATGATTTTCATTACATTATTGCTATTGGTGTATGTGTGGTGAACTACTAGAATTCAATTGGTGCTTGTGTATATTGCTCTCCACGAGATGTTTTCTAATGTGATTTTTTATACACCACTGATTAAAGATTGTTTTAAAGCTTTGTCTGTCCCTAACAAAATTTTGCCAAGTTGAATACATATGTTTGTTGAATTTGGCTGTTAACACTATTTAAGGCCACTGCAGTGACTTTTGGTCACGGGTCATATTTCACACTTGTCAGTTATAATTGTAGCGAGTCGGACACATCAAGAGTACCATTTCTTTGTATTCTTATCAGCTATTATCTACAAACAGTATTAAAAGCTTTTCTTTTTCCTGTAGAAGCAATCTGTTTGTACTCTTGCATATGAGAGAAAGAGGATAATTGTGTTACATGTTTGTTGAATGATTGTTTTGTTGCATATCCATGATACAACTTTTCATTTATTCATGGGACCATAATAAAATTCATAGTAATATTTGGGGTTACTTTTTCTTTTTGTTTCTTGAAACTGAAAACTGATCCGTAACTTCCCTAACATCCAGATGGAATGGGGGAGGGATTATAAAGGTGAAATGTTCATCCAATAAGATCAATTACAATGTAGATTTGCATGTTCCATATTATCACCAGCAAGTTTTCAATCTGATTATAGTTTCTTTGATGTCCAAAACAGCTGAAATGGCAAAATTTGTACAAGGTCATTCGAAAAAAAATGATAACTTCAGTTAAGTTTTCAAACAAAAAGCCGTGGCAAAACTCAAAAAGGGATTTACATGAATATAAAACTACAGTCAAAATGAGAGCAACATCTGAAATTATTGACTCCTTTTTATGTAAATTAGATATTACCTGATACATTTCTGCTTCTAATCCCAAAATGTACCTCGCACAATATTTGGGGATTATGTGGGAATTGTGTTCTGACCATAACCTTGTAATGGAGAGAAATTGGAAGCTCGTTCGTGAAACAAAGACTGCTTATTATGATCTCTGGTTATTACATGATTCAGACAATAGTTCATTTGGGAAAGATAAAGGTCACTGGCAGAAAAAGTGTAAAAATTTGTGTCTGGGACTGAACATTGTGGTGGAGAAGCAGTTCAAATGACTTGTAATATCAGGGGGAGTCGAGTCATGACCTTGAACCAAGGTCCTGTGGGCAATTTATGTTGGGTCTATAATCCAATAAACAAATATTGGAAGTTAATATTTCATCAAAGATTACTTATGATGTGGGTGTAACATGATCTTACAGACTAAAGGTCAATTGGGTAGTTCAAGGTCACTGGCAAAAAGTCTGTGGAGTTAGGTCCGTAATCTGTAAACAAATACCTGTATTGGGAGTTCATTAAATTAAGATTACTTAGGACCAGTGGATGTAACATGACCTTGTTCTAAAGTCATTCAGGCAAATTTGAGGTCACTTGCAGAAAAATGTATAATTCAGGTCTGGACTATAAATTTGTAATGGAACAAGAGGCCCAAGGGCCTTAACAGTCACCTGAGTATAATACAACAATTTAAAGGATCCATAGAGTATAAAATGAACTGAAAGGTGAAGCTTTGTTGCCCAAAAGCAAGAAAAAAATAGGATGATCAGGATTAACAAAATAATTAGTATTCATTAACAGTTCATAAATCAGGTTCTAATTAATCTGTTCCCCATTTAATCACTATCACCATACAGTATATTAACAAATTATTGATGCTTCTGTACTATTTTAACACCTTGAAATTTCTTACATTGGCCTCAGATTTGTCTGTGATGAACATTTAATAAGACAAGTTATTTTTGTCTCATTTTTATTTATCTATTACTTGCAAGTCTATCTGATCATTAAAACTAGGAAAGTACTTTTTGTATTATACAATAACAATTCTTGCATAATTCTCTTATTCTATTTACCTTTCAAGTACCGGTACATTATTTACAGTGATTATTTAATTATCAAAAGTAAACGGCAAAGGGGAATGACTCCTCTCAGTAGTATACAAATTAATAGAGCCCTGGCTAGGACCAGAATACTTGACCACATGGTCCAGATGTTCAAAAATCTGGTAAAAATACCCTTCCTTATTAAAACTTTTACTCTGTTTGCCTCAGATACATGTATGCCCAGGTGCAGAGAAGATTTTTAAAGAAATAATGCATTTTTACTACAGATTCACTATATTATCAATAGAGCCCCCCCCCCCCCCCCCCCCCACCGAGAAACACCAGAGCCTCTGACCCAGGGACCATAAGTTTGCTCATCATAACTAATCACTTTGTTTATCTGCTTAACACTAAGGAACAGACAGGATTATTAAATAGAATTAATGCATTTTCACTATATCATCAAGAGCCCCATCCTTACACCAGCACATCTGACCCAGGGGTTATGAAAAAAGCTTCTTTGCTTTTTAACCAGAAGCAGAAAAGAATGTTTTCAAAGAAATTTTGCTTTTTTCACTATATAATCAATAGAAGCCCCCCCCCCCCCCCCCAGAACTCTTGAATCTGGGGCCATGAAATTCACAATTTTGGAAGAGGCATCCTTTCGTATCATAACAATGTACTTACTTTGTTTAAATAATACTCATGGGCAGAGAAGAAGATTTTTAAAGAAATAATTCACCTTCACTATAGGATCTATATAGCCTCGCCCTAGCACCAAAACCCCTGTCCCTGGGGCCATGAATTTCACAATTTTGGAAGAGGCATCCTTGCTTATCATAACAATGTACTTAGTTTGTTTAAATAATACCCAGGTGCAGAGAAGAAGATTTTTAAAGAATTAAAACATTTTCACTTTATAATCAATAGAGCCCTGCCCTAACACCAGAACCCATGATCCAGGGGCCATGAATTTAACAATTTTGGAAGAGGCATCCTTGCTTATCATAACGATGTAACTATTTAATTTGTTCAAATAATACCCAGGAGTAGAGAAGAAGATTTTCCAAAGAAATAATGCACTTTCACAATATGATCTATATAGCCCAGTCCTAGCACCAGAACCCCGACCCTGGGGCCATGATTTTTACAATTTTGGTAGAGTCACCCTTGCTTATCATTACTATGTATTTAATTTAATAAATAATATCCAGGAGTAGAGAAGATTTTCAAAGAAATAATGCACTTTCACTATATGATCTATAAAAAGCCCTGCCCTAGCACCAGAACCCCTGACCCTGGGGCCATGAATTTCACAATTTTGGTAGAGAGCTTAATGTTTATTACAATCATGCCAACAGTTTGACTGCTTGCATGATGTCCAGGAGTAAAGAAGATTTTTTAAAGATTGCATTAATTTTGGTGGTTTTAGCCCCACCCCTCAGAATGTAGAGGGGCAGGGACCATGAAATTCAAAAATTTTGTTCCCCTTTACACATAGATGCCATATGCTAAAATTAGCTGAAATTGGTTCAGCTGTTTCAGAGAAGAAGCTGAAAATGTTCAAATGTTAACAGGACGGATGACGGACGAAAACAGATAGCAATAGGTCACCTAGGCCTGAGTGACTCAGGTGACCTAAAAATTTTTGAAAGTAATACTTGACACAAAGCCTGTTTATGACTTGAAGTGTGTCATGACCTTGACTGAAGATCATTGTGGCAAGTTCAAAGTAGGTAGATATAAATTCTAATGTCTAATCTGTAAGAAGAACAAGAGGCCCAAGGGCCTTAACGGTCACCTGAGTATAATACAACAATTTAGAAGTTAAATACACTGATAGATGAAGCATTGTTCCCCTAGCCCCCCCCCCCCCCCCCCCCCCCTCAAGAACCCCAAAAACTGAGGCCATATATTTAAAAATTTTGGAAGAGGCATCCTTGTCTATCATAATCATGCACTTAGTTTGTTTAAATAATCTCCAGTAGCAGAGAAGTTTTCAAAGAATCAATGTATTTTCACTATATAATCAATAGAGCCCCGCCCTAACACCAGAACCCCTGACCCTGGGGCCATGAAATTCACAATTTTTGAAAAGGCATCCTTATGCGTTTAAATAGTCTCCAGTAGCAGAGAAGAAGATTTTCAAAGAATCAATGCATTTTCACTATATAATCAATACAGCCCCACCCTAACACCAGAACCCCTGACCCTGGGGCCATGAAATTCACAATTTTTGAAGAGGCATCCTTATGCATCATAACCATGCACTTAGTTTGTTTAAATAATACCCAGGAGCGGAAAAGAAGATTTTCAAAAAATTAAAGCATTTTTACTATATAATCAATAGAGCCCCGCCCTAACACCAGAACCCCTGACCCAGGGGCCATGGCTTTCACAATTCTGGAAGAGGCCCACCTCCTCATCATAACTACGTACTTAGTTACTTTATTAAATACCCAGGAGCAAAGAAGAAGATTTTCGAAGAATTAATGCATTTTCACTATATAATTTATAGAGCCCTGCCCTAACACCAGAACCCCTGACCCTGGGGCCATGAATTTCACAATTTTGGAAGAGGCACTCTTGCTCATCATAACTATGTACTTAGTTCCTTTATTTAATACCCAGGAGCAGAGAAGAAGATTTTCAAAGAATTAATGCATTTTCACTATATAATCAATACAGCCCCACCCTAACACCAGAACCCCTGACCCTGGGGCCATGAATTTCACAATTTTGGAAGAGGCACTCTTGCTCATCATAACTATGTACTTGGTAACTTTATTTAATACCCAGGAGCAGAGAAGAAGATTTTCAAAGAATTAATGCACTTTCACTATAGGATCTATATAGCCCCACCCTGGGGCCAGAACCCCTGACCCTTGGGCCATGAATTTCACAATTTTGGAAGAGGCACTCTTGCTCATCATAACTATGTACTTAGTTCCTTTATTTAATACCCAGGAGCAGAGAAGAAGATTTTCAAAGAATTAATGCATTTTCACTATATAATCAATACAGCCCCACCCTAACACCAGAACCCCTGACCCTGGGGCCATGAATTTCACAATTTTGGAAGAGACAGTCTTGCTCATCATAACTATGTACTTAGTTCCTTTATTTAATACCCAGGAGCAGAGAAGAAGATTTTCAAAGAATTAATGCACTTTCACTATATGATCTATATAGCCCCACCCTGGGGCCAGAACCCCTGACCCTGGGGCCATGAATTTCACAATTTTGGAAGAGGCACTCTTGCTCATCATAACTATGTACTTAGTTCCTTTATTTAATACCCAGGAGCAGAGAAGAAGATTTTCAAAGAATTAATGCATTTTCACTATATAATCAATACAGCCCCACCCTAACACCAGAACCCCTGACCCTGGGGCCATGAATTTCACAATTTTGGAAGAGACAGTCTTGCTCATCATAACTATGTACTTAGTTACTTTATTTAATACCCAGGAGCAGAGAAGAAGATTTTCAAAGAATTTATGCACTTTCACTATATGATCTATATAGCCCCACCCTGGGGCCAGAACCCCTAACCCTGGGGCCATGAATTTCACAATTTTGGTAGAGGGCTCAATGCTTATTACAATGATGCCAACAGTTTGACTGCTTCATGTCCGGGAGTAAAGAAGAAGATTTTTAAAGATTGCATTATTTTTGGTGGTTTTAGCACCACCCCTCAGGCCCCGGGGGGGGCAGGGACCATGAAATTCACAATTTTTGTTCCCCTTCACCCATAGATGCTATATACCAAATTTGGTTGAAATTGGTTGAGCGGTTCTAGAGAAGAAGTTAAAAATGTTCAAAAGTTAACGCACGACGGACGACGCACGACGACGGACAAAAACAGATAGCAATAGGTCACCTGAGTGACTCAGGTGACCTAAAAATTGGAAACTCATACTTGACACAAACATTACTTATGACTTGGTGTGTCATTAACTCAAGGTCATTTGGACAAGTTCAGGGTCACTGGCAGAAAAATTATATAATTCCTGTCACTCCTGAATTTGAATGGAGAAACATTGTATGCAGCAATTAAAACAAACTGCAGAAGGGGCATCATTTTTTGAGCTTGCTCACAGTATCAAGTTTATTACCATTTGTTCTGTCAAGTATAGAATTTGAGATAACATTTGATATATGCTGCTGTGTGGCTTGTGTGAGGGCTCTTGCCCATGGTCTTCTTGTTAAGCAACTTTTTTATATTAATCAAATAAAATCAGAAAGAAAATAATCCTAGGAGTTCAAAGCTTTAATTCTTCATTTAATATTTGTTATTCAAACATTCACACCCAAAGCCTTATTTTATAAAATATATCAATAACTGAATGCATGCCTTTTAAAATTAATTGATTGCACAGATTTGCTTTTAAAATTACATTAACAAATACATCACAAAATCCCATAGAGAACAAAGAGTAATCTTCATTTATGAGGTAAATATCAAACTAAGAAATAATGGGTTAAAAAAAAACACACTTGGAGCCACAAATGCAGAAGTTAATATTGCTTATGAGTTAAAGACCTTAAAAAACCCCAAGCTTGTTCATTTTTCTTGTAAATGATCTTTTAATTCCTCATTGACAATTCATTGCAGAAATTTTTTACCGTTTAGATGTGTTAAACATATGTATTTTGCCTGGATAAATTATCACTTTACATTGTTTTTACACTAGTGATACACATGGATAAGATAATGAACAGAAAGTCAAACACCAGAATTAAATCTGTGATAAGACTTGTCTGAATTTGGTGCAAGAGAAACGTTGTTCTTGAATAAACATTTCCAGATTGTGTTAGTCTTCTTTTTTTCTCTTTTTTTTTTTTTGGATACATACGTGTTTGTACTTTTTTCTGGGGAAATCAAATAATAACTGTAGAAGTAGCATTTCCAGTAATTTCACCAATTAAATGTATTTTTAGTGACCATGTCATCTCCTCTCATCAAATCCCTAAAAGAGCCTCACCTTAGTAATCTTGGGTCCGCTGCTCTTCATCAGATTTTTATATGACTTTTTTAAAATTTATTTTCCATGAAAATTTTTGAGCCCACATTGGCCCCATCCTAGCTCTACACGATAACCAAATTTGAATCCACTCAGCATGGGAATGCTTCCATGTCATTTTATTTAACACAGCCAAGTTGTCTTTAGATTTTTTCCTTCATTCCTTGCATATATTTAAAACTATTATCCCCTATTGCAGCCCTACCCTATCCAAGGGGGCCATGTTCTGAAGAAACTGAAATCTGCTCTACCTAAGAATACCTACATAATACCGGTAATATGACTTATCATGGCCCTGCAATTCTTGAGATTTATGTTAAATATAAGGATAACTCTATTTTGCATAAAAAGTCAAAATTTGCCAATAACTAGCAGTTAAATGAATTTAGAAATAAATCCATAAATATTGAAAGTATATTTGTACATATTATTGGATATTAAAGAAAGATGACTGACAATTCATGAACTGAGCCTCTAATATTTGGCACAACAAAAATCATGGTTATTCAAACATAGTCAAACGTGGTTACAGTAAACATGCTTACATGATAATGAATTCATGCTCATACCAAATTGATCTTTAATCCCTGTAGTTTTAAAATATATTATGAACTATTGGTCATCCCTGGGACTTCACCATAAGCATATATATACTATGTTTCACTTACTTTAGAAAGTCATTTTTTAACATACCCCATCAATCACATTTTAAACTTGCATTGTAAATCACATTGTCAAAAATACTCAAATTTACATACCATATCAGTTTTAAAAGATATAATAAATTAATAATACAAGTGAAATTGTAAAAATAATTTGCATCTTGTAAAATATGACTGCTAATGAAAGCCTTCCTTTACTCCGTGAGAATGATCAATTGTAATTGCAGTTTCAGCTGTTAGAACACATGCCATTCTTTCCTTTAAACCCCTGTCTCCTAATTTGTCTTTCCCTGTTTTTTGACTGCCACACAACAATGGAGTGGTCATCACTGGCCGTCACCAGCATTTCTGGGTCACGAGGGTTGAATGCAACACTATTGACCACATCAGTGTGAGGGAATTTATGTAGGCAGATTCCGTAGTGACGATCCCAAATGTAGCCATGCTGATCTTCAGCTCCACTGAAAAACATGAAATAACAGAACATCCAACATTACATTTACTTAATTTCATTGTGAAATCACAAGCAACATGAAGTTCAAAGTCTAGTTCCTCAAATCATGTCATGATCTGAATCAACATTTCAATTTCTGTTTAAGTGCTCAATGGCCTCTGTCACAAAAGAAGTGTGTGCAGTTTCAAATGGATATTAAATGTGAACTGAACTTCAATAATAAGATGCCAACTATTTAGAATAATAGGATCTAGAAATTTTGTCATGCATATTTCATTCTTCTATTTAGATAGATATTTAGACTGAATTTTAGTTGAGCATTTAATAAACATTCAATTTTATTAGAAGAAGCAGATTCTCCCAAATCTTCATGTATGTAAAGCCTCCTATCAAAGATTATTTCGATATCGCTGGTTTTCCTCATCAAATTTGCCTTACCTGGCTACATATTCATTGGAAACATCCAGAAAAATAAAGAAGCACTCATCATTAGGTGTATAAGCCTTATGCGATCTGTACATTTTGCCTACTTTCTTCATTTTCATCAGGTCAATGACATGGATGTCTATCTCCTGAGCAATAGGAGGAGGGTAGAAAGGGTTTTCTATGGTGTAGTTCTTTGGCCACTGTCTGCAGTTCACATACAGGTACCTGTGGAGAATTTGTGGTATATTAATCAAGTTTGAAACCAATATATTGTGTTTGGTTTGTCCATTTGTCTGTTCATGTGTATGTTCATAACCAATTTCACCCTGGCCATACTGTAAGCATTGATTTATTTACATATATACACTATATACTAGGTCAGGTTGTAAACTGTGTACCTAGATGTCAAACTCTGTGAGTAAAAGACAAATACTTCATATCATTTAATTCATGTTCTTTACTAAAGAACACTTAAAAACCATACTGAAACATATGGAGAGAATACATATCAAAGACAAGGAATGTACATAGAGCTCAGTCCTGATTGAGTCTATGTCATTGTGCATTTAATAACATCCTAAGAGTGAAGTATTTTAAAATTACACTAGGTCAAATGTAGAAACACACTTCTGACTAGGATCCCATTCTGATACAGAGTGAAGGTCACTCATCCTCAAGTGAAAATTAAATACTAGTACTTATCAGACCTTTGAGTAAAGATATTTGTTGACGATTACTGCATTTTCTTTACATGCTTAGATACTCTCTGATAGAAAAATATAAACCAGTTCAGATCAAAGAAAGGAAAATAAATACTCTCAAGTCAAGAAATCGGGGACAGAGAGCAGTTTTGACTTTTCACCCAGAATCTCTGTTCAGGATTACTCAAGACCCTCTAACCCAAGGATACTAAGTACTTTCGTTGTGAGTAATGAATACATTTGAGTTTTTACTCTGTTAAGTGATAATGAATTGGTTGGTATATAGGAACAGCAGTATGGCGAGATCTCAAAATGATGGTTATCAACTTGCACTTCTCGACAGAAATACTTGTACTCACCTGTCATCCGGCGATAGACACAAGCCTATGATGTGACCATGAAGATCAATGACGTGGTCTACATCATCATAGCCCTCTCGGTCTATTCCATGTAGGTTTTCCTCCACGTTTGGCATCACCTGTACTCGGTCACCTATGACTCTCTCCAATGACTTCATTCGTTTTATTCCTATCTGGTGTGGAGTGAAAGTCTCTGATCCTCGAGTAAAAATTAAATACTTATCAGGAAATTGACACTTTTGCTGACTAGACGGATTTTCTAAACTTGATTGTTTGCTAGAGGAAGACATATTCTTTTTTCCATTATATCGAGCAGTCTTATCCTTAGGAAAAGGATCCTGACCTTCGATCACATGAGAGCGATCCTGACTGAACAGAATATTAGATTGAAGAGGGTAGCCATACACAGAGCCACCGGCGTACATCCCTTTATAACAGTTATCCTCACAGCTATAACGCCTACACACTGAACAGGCTCCCTCCATACTTTTCACCAATAGGTCTGAATTAACTGACCTCATTTCCAGATCTGCCGATGTCCCAGTAGCACCACTGCAACCTTCAACATCAGCATTTGCTTCCATGTCATTGTTTGCAGAAGCAATGTCCTCTTCTGCATCTCGATAAGCTTGACTGTATGTTATTGTACTATTAATTTCGTGAGAAATTTTGTCTTCTGGGTCCACTTCAATCATTTTCTCTCTTAATGCTCCACCCTCATATACTGTTACCTGCTGAACCTTCTTATAGACATTGTCAACTACCTTTTTTGATTGTTTATCCTTTGCAGTTGATGGCTTAGCACTCTGCAGATTTTCTGTGGAAGTGTCGAAGTCTGTGGAGTATTTATTGGTATCACAGTTACACTTTATCTCACCTTCTGTGTCTGTTAAGCACTCTGCTACAAGCAATGTTCTAATAGAACTTGCATTTTGATTTTCAAAACGATAGAGTCCCATCACCACGGACTCATGCTCTGATTCTATATCTTGAAATCCCTGAAATAGTAGAGCATAAACAACAGGCATCTTTATACTCATTCACTTAAATTTTTTTTAATTTTTTTTTTTTAGGAGACCTGCAAGAGTCATTCTTTTAAAATAAGACAGTTATCTTGCTCATTTTGATAAAGGGATTTCTACAATATAATCCTTTACTACAGAATCAAGTGATATTGGACAGACAGACAGATTGACAGACAGACTGATAACTACAGATAACTACAGGGTGTCTGCAAAGTCGAGTCCTAATTACATTTGTACATAAAGTACTTAAGCTAAAATATAACTAAATGTTACATACAAATTATTTTATATGGTACCAGAGAAAATTAAAAGTGGAGCATTCTGTATCTATTCTAAGATTCAACATATTCCATTTTTACTTCTAGCTATAACATTACAGATCATTTTCTTAACTACTTAATATACAAAAAATTACAGAAAACCCTTTGATATATTTTTTCACTTCTATTATCTTGAATGCCACACATCATTTCTCACCTTATTGAGAATAATTGAAGAACATGATTGGAGCTGCCCAGTTATATGCAGATTTCCAGAGAGCAAATAATTGTAATTATACCAAGTCCCAAACACATCATAAGGCTTATTTATAACTCTAGCCTGCAGTAAAAATTCTCCTGAAATAAAATAAATAATTACTATCTTTTAGGGATGGGTATCATAAAAAAATTTGTATCACAATATTTCACAATTTTTTCCAAAATATATCAGGATAATTTCATGATGTATTTACATACAATTTTACTATGATTTAAAATGAATATCCATAATTTTTCTTTAATAAGGCATGTTTGGATGCTAGGATGCTGTTGTTTTACAACCTTTTTTTTAATTCTGGTTATTGTAATTCAAAAGTTTGAACCAAAAAATCAATTATATTCTAAATCTATAATGACATTATAACACCAGTACTTTAGACTCTGGTACACTGATAATATTGTGTATCCCTTCCATCTTTAATCCTAGTGGACATTCACCACTGTGGAAAACCGTACTGGTGTACCTCCAACAAAATTTATATTCGACAAAACCTTTGTCATATAAAGTGATAAAAAAATGAGAATAGAGGGAATGGCACATTTACCTTCTAGATTGAAAACAGCTATTTCTCCGGAGGTGCTTTGACTCCCAAAGTGAACCCCTGACACCAGAAGGAGGGTGTCATTTTTATTGAACTGTGAGAATTGTGTGTACTTCCAGGTCAGTGTTCTCATGTCATACTTGTCCCTGAGCTGTATAGGGTAGGCTGCATTCCATACCTACAGAGAAACATTAGTAAGTAACAATCATAGATTTGTTTAAAAATTTTATCCTTAAGTTAAATCATTAAATTAAATGTTTATGAGCTCACAACACAAAATATGGAAGCTGAAATACTGTACATGTACGATGCATATTAAATTGATGCATTCAAAATTTAGTGCAAACATTGGGTATGGAGTGGTTGGCGTAATCATGAATTAGCACTACACACATCTGCTCCATGTATTGTATTCATTAATGACTTCTTAATTCTTATGAATTAGCTAATCATTGTCCACACCAAAGCTACATATATGAAGCCTGCTTTCTGACGTACATGTACACATATAGTACTTCTGGGAGATTAAGTTTCATTTAAATATATACAGACTGTAGATAAGATGTTCAGTGAAACTATGTCCTCGACAAAATTCTATCCAAGGACTGCATATCACCAAATTTATTTTATTATGATTAAAGAAAAATACAGAAAAACATGAAAAACATAAAAAAACATGAAAATATGTCCCTCATAAAGTCACTTTTTGGTATGTATATCCTACAAATTTTTAACCCTGTGATAATTTACACTTGTAAAGTATACTATCTAAGCATAGCAACATATACCATCAAATGACAAAGCTTGAATTCACTGTCCAAGCCCTAGAATTTTCCACATAACATAGCAAACCAACAAGTCCATACTTCACAAAATTTTACCTTAATGAAACCATCCTTTGAACAAGTGGCAAACATCTTGCCATTGTGAGAGAAGCTGACATGGAGGACTTGGTCAGTGTGCTGCTTGATGACTGTGCCCTTGACCTCTGGAGTATGGTAGTACAGTCTTTTAAACTCTTGAAACCATGAAGTTTTACCAGGAGCAATCCCAATGTCCTTTGGTATATGATAATACTGGTGAAAGAGTGCCTTCCATAACTGTTCATCAAATGCAATTTCATTCATTCTCCTGAAACACAGACATGTACATCACAATAGATAAATTTAAGAATCAATAAGAATCAAGAATTAATTATGAGAAATTGCTAAGTCATTTGGATGAACATGTACATTTTCTCCAAGTTCTCCAGCCCCCCCCCCCTTTTTCACTCATTGCATTACTATGCCTACATCTGACCCATCATCAGAGTTGATTTTGTTTAATGTGTGTAAATCAAATAAACTTTTACACTTGTGGGTTAAAAGGGTCTGTAAATGGAATATTTATTGCATCAATAAAAATCATGTCCTTTATTTTTTTCTCTATTCAGCAGATTCAACATTAAATTATAAATGTACATATAAATGCCATTCTATTTTATTCATTAAGTCTACCTTGAAACAAGTAATTGCTTTTCACACAATTTAGCCTAGTTTGAACATGAACCCTCCCCATCCCCCTCCCACACACTACAAAAAAATATCAAATTTGAAAGAAGAAATCTTGTTCAAATACCTGCTAACGGTAAAAAAACAAGAGGCCCAAGGGCCACATCGCTCACCTGAGCACTGTGGCTAGGAAAAAAGGAAAAATCAGTTTAGTATTGAAAAGCTTAAATGCATAAGTGGTCCCAACCTACCCCTAAAAAGGGAGTGGGGGGGGGGGGGTCATGATTTGAACAAACTTGAATCTACACTATATGAGGATGCTTCCGTATAAATATGACAAACCGTGGCTCTGCTGTTCTTGAGATTTTTAAAGATTTTTCCTATATATTCCTATGTAAAACTTTGATCATTCATTGTGGCCCCGCCCTACCCCCGGGGGTCATGATTTGAACAAACTTGAATCTACTACACCTGAGGATGCTTCCATATAAATATGACCAATCATAGCTTTGCTGTTCTTGAGAAAAAGATTTTTGAAGATTTTTCCTATATATTCCTATGTAAAACTTTGATCATCCAATGTGGCCCCACCCAACCCCCGGGGATCATGATTTGAACAAACTTGAATCTACACCACCTGAGGATGCTTCCAAATAAATATGACCAATCATAGCTTTGCTGTTCTTGAGAAGAAGATTTTTGAAGATTTTTCCTATATATTCCTATGTAAAACTTTGATCATCCATTGTGGACCCACCCTATCCCCGGGGGTCAAGATTTGTACAAACTTGAATCTACACTATATGAGGATGCTTCCAAATAAATATGACCAATCATAGCTTTGCTGTTCTTGAGAAGAAGATTTTTGAAGATTTTTCCTATGTATACCTATGTTAAACATTGATCGTCCATTGTGGCCCCACCCTACCTCCGGGGGTCATGATTTGAACAAACTTGAATCTACACCACCTGAGGATGCTTCCATATAAATATGACCAATCATAGCTTTGCTGTTCTTGAGAAGAAGATTTTTGAAGATTTTTCCTATATATTCCAGACCTATGTAAAACTTTGGTCGTCCAATGTGGCCCCACCCTACCCCGGGGGTCATGATTTGTACAAACTTGAATCTACACCACCTGTGGATGCTTCCAAATAAATATGACCAATCATAGCTTTGCTGTTCTTGAGAAGAAGATTTTTGAAGATTTTTCCTATATATTCCTATGTAAAACTTTGATCGTCCATTGTGGCCCCACTCTATCCCCGGGGGTCATGATTTGAACAAACTTGAATCTACACTACCTGACAATAATTCCACATGAGTTTCATCTTTCCTGGCCCACTGGTTCTTGAGAAGAAGATTTTTCAATAATGCCATTAATTTTTTGCTATTTCGTAATTATCTCCCCTTGGAGGAGGGCGTGGCCCTTCATTTGAACAAACTTGAAACCCCTTCACCCAAGGATACTTTGTGCCAAGTTTGATTGAAATTGGCCCAGTAGTTCTGGAGAAGAAGATGAAAATGTGAAAAGTTTACGACAACAACGACGCCGACGACGATGACAGACAACGGACAAATTTTGATCAGAAAAGCTCACTTGAGCCTTCGGCTCAGGTGAGCTAAAAACTGCCACAAGTGGACATAAGAACAATACTGACCTAAGCAATCCCTATGCTAAACATTTACAAATAACAGTAAAAAGTATACCAAAGTGCTAATGACAAACAATTTCAGTTCAATATAAACCTAATTTGTTATATCTGTTAAGTTCATTATATGTTTTACAAACTACAGGGAATGAAAATTGCTTCCCTGTAAGCATGAATTCATTCTAAGTGTAATTTCTGTACATAAACCTTGTTTTACAGCAGGTATAACTAATTACAATGGCCTGCTCAATGTTCAATGGCAGTGTGGTAAGGATATCGCAAGTGAGATAAAAGTCTATGTAAATATACAAATTGATTACCGGTAATTAAAATGCATAAGGGCTATAAATTTTATACATAGAAGAATAACACTTATTTTCTAATACATATTTGGTACTCATGACGTTATAGCCAATACACATTATGAAATCAATGCATAATGCATAAAAGAATGCATAGTCCATGTAGGCTAAAAATTTCCTCAAAGTATAATAATCAAATGAGAAAAACAGTAGAATATTGTGCAGCAATTTTATTAATCTTAAAAATATTCTTCTTAGCATTATGCACTATTCATGTAAAATTTAGTAGGACATGCCCTTTTTTGTTTATGTGCTTTATTACCTTGAGTAGAAAAGAACAATGACGTCAATATATGATGTCATAATGTATTCTGGCCAAAACATGTCATGGGTACCAAGTATGTATAAGGAAATGAATTTAAACTTTTTCTGTATAGTAGATATCTCATGCATTTTATTAGATCATTTGCGCAGAAATGTCTACACATAGCCTTATCTCACTTGTGATTTAGTCCAAGTCAGGATGACAGGAATGGCTGTGTAAGGATAGTTTTCAAGAGTTTAACACATGTGGAACTCACTATGAATGGTATATAATATTTGTACAATATAATTTAATATGTACAATATACCTGCAAGTTCCTGACATCCTGACCACCGAAAATGGTGTCATAAATGACAAAATATGCAGAATGACATCATCTGGGAGTAAGTCCCACAGAGTGGTCTCCTCCTCAACCTCCATACCCAAAATTATGTGTATGAATGAATCCAAAACTACATCTAAAAAAGAAAGAGGTAGATTTTTTTTAGTATGTCAATTAAACATTTAATAATGGTTTGTAGGAAATGAATACAGAAATTTTTTTTTGAAGATACACTTTCATTCATAAAGAACTCAGGAAACATCTCTGCCAATATTGTAACTTAAATATTATAAATATGAAATCTTTGAGTGAAATGAATAAAACCTTTTAAAGTTTAAAAAGAAAACCTAAAGAACATATCAAATTTCATTCTGAAAAAACATTGATAATTAAGATGCAATTCTCTCTAGTAGCTCAAATTGCCAAAATGGGATATAATAGCCTATCTGGGCATTACATATTGTAAGTCCCCATAAAAATATCTAAAAATTAAGCAACAACTTCTGAAGTCTTTTTTTTTTTTTTTTGGTTAACAACGTTTTTCTGTATTGCTACTATTTTTGAAAATGATCCCACAAAAGATTCAAAACTTCTTAGGGATCAAAGTCACAAAGTGTACAGCTGGTGCTTTCTTACCAAAAGTTGTTGCATTCTGACATAACAAAACATAAAGACATGTATATAACAGGGACATGTCACCTATGTAGAGTAAAAGTCTTCTAATCCAGACATCACTTGTTCCATAGAAATTGCCTGGATAAGACAACATTCTGGGTTAGACAACATCTTTAAACAATTTAATTTACTGAAAGGGACTAAAATTTTTCATCATATATGAATTGACTTCCAATAAGTTTATGAACAAGGTCCCTGAATGTAATCCCCCCTTTTTTTACCACAGTAAATTTATATTCCATTTGGGATATTATATATCATCATGATAATTAACTGTCTCAAAACTGCTATAAACAATTCTATAGCAGCTGTACCGTTCAAGGCATCTTGATTAATGAAATTCTTACACATGAAAAGTGACCGCATCTTCAAGTATAGATGCCAACATTCCAAAATGTAAAAAAAATATTTGACAAATTCCGCTAATTGCATGCAAAAACTGTCTTAATTTTTGGGGGAAATGACATGTTTAAATAAATCTTTTGTATACTACGTGATGTAACATCAGAAAAATTAGTTCATCGATAAAAGAGCTTGTCAACAGACTCTAGGAAACAGCATTAAGTGTACTTTAACTATGCATACCCTTTTTATCAAACAATGCAAACGTTTTGCTGGTTGATTATTATTACCTGGCTTAAAAGACAAACGCAATTTAACGGTACTAGGTAGTCAAGAATTTGACAGGTTTGCAGTGTGTATCATGTATACCGAACCCGATGTCATATAAAAACAAACGACCCATGGGCAACAACGCTCACCACAGTCACGTTTTATACTTCTCTTCAGGAAGATTTTAAATAATTTCTTATGAAAAAAAAAAATTACCACCCAAATGTGCCTCAAAATAGTTCCAAAAGAGCAAACTTGAATCTGTATCAAATGTGGCAAATTTAAGGGAGAGAGCCCCTCACCCCCACCCCCCACCCCAGAAAGAAAACTTTTTTTTCCAACAGATATATAAAGCATGGTTCCGTTATATATATATATATATATATATATATATATATATATATATATATATATATATATATATATATATATATATATATATATATATATATATATATATATATATATATTAAAGGCTTCATCTCTATGCTCTTGCAACTTGCAAGACAGGCGAGTCCGAGGGATTGACACCTAAGATTTACCCTAGAACCACTAGGAATACGGTACCCCCTTTTTATTTCTTTTTAGAGAAGCGATAACCAGGCGACGATCGTGCAATAAAAATACAGCTATTTACTTAAAGTTTGTGTGAGCTGTAAGCTGCGTATCCTATTTATTTACATGTATATAACATAAAACACCAAATCCAACAACTAAATATTGCTGCAAATGTGTATCAAATGTCAGTAGGACAATGTTTTGCCCAATGACATTAAGGTGTTATTTTATCGATGATTTTCTAGAGCAAGCTTAGAATAAACCTGAAATGGTCATGCCTGAAGTTTGATTTAATTAATCACCTTAAAATATGATCGTGTACATGTATATTAAATATTGATCATTAATTGTGTTGATTCATAATAGTTAAATTTAACTTCACTAAATGTGAATACCTACATAATAAGTAATCAAAGACAACTGTATTAAGGTCTATGGGGACAGGCAACTTTTTGAAAATAAAAATTCTAATTCTAAGAATATCAATGCATTCGATTTTATTGAATCTGGGACTATTATGGGTCAGATACTTTAATAAAATCAGAGCTTTAATGTGCTTAGATATGTCAAAGGAGCCAAGCTTAGGAAAGACTATGCTTTTTGTTCATAAATACGAGGGGCATTTGAAAAGTTCTGAGGATGATTTGTTTAAAAAAAAATAACCGTTTACGTTTAACGGATGTTAATGAGTTTGATTTCATTTTAAAGAGTATAAAAATGTGCAAATATTGTGCCGCCACTTTGTAATTTTTATGATCTAATAATTCCGAAAAAATGACGACAGAATTCCCTGTGCTTTGTATACTGACCATAAAAATGAGGTAACAAGAAACAAAATTAAGCAATGCAAAAATTTGAAAGTCAACTTTTGTTCATAAATTGAATGCACGCTAATGGAAACAGTTGCATGTTGGAAGAAACTTCAAAGTTTACGTAGACAACAGTGTATCATATGGAGTTATAATCAATAGCCTCTTTGTTTTTGAGGCGGTGTGTCAAACATGGCATTGGGTAAAAAATCGTTGCTGTGAAAAAAAATGAAAAAGTTTGCAATCATGAGATAAAAGTAGACGATATTGCAGAATGTGCTGGATTTAAGTCGTCAGTTGTTTTAACAAAGTACAGAAGAGATTTTGCTAAAGGAATCCCATATTTTCTCATAAAAACCAAAAAAAGATTGTACTTGGCAATGAAACTCAGGGTTTTTTTAAAAAAAAAATTACTTTTAATAATATGAGTATTGAATCGCTAAAGTTGTAAGAAAAAAAACGCAAAGAAACAAGTCTTGGGGAAGACATTTGTACGTTTTCTTTATAAACGGTTAAAGTCCTGTTACCCAGGTTACGTTTTAGACAATGAAAAAAATGAAGATAACGAACAGTGATCGATCTAAAAAAAAAAAAAAACAAAACAAACAAAGTAAAACAACAAAAAAAAACTACAAAAAATAAGAAATCTGTGAACGGTGCATAAAACACGAACCACCGGAATACTAGTAAGTTATACATTTCCAAAAACAAAGAGCTCAGTATTTTCGAAGCTAACACAATGGCTGACATCCAAAAATAAGAATTCATAATAAACTGGAAGATCGTGAGAACACCAGATTAGGGCTATCAAGGGCTTCTTTGAAAAGATTTCTCAAGGAAAAATTGCAAAGAATTTGAATGAAATATGGAGATAACGAACTGTCTAACTCAAAGTTCATTTAAACAATACAAATCGGGAGCAAAGCAAACAAGGATCTTCAAAAACATCGATATCAGTGGTGGGATCAGAAGCCATGGAGGAGTGAGCATCCCATGCCGACACGTCACACCCGCTGTATGCCCCTTGTCATGATCGGGGGGAAACGGAAAAATCCATAGACAATCCAGTGTGTCAATAATGGTATAACAATTAGTATGAAAAACGTCAGTCAGCATTTGACTTAATGATAAGTTGTTTTTGCTGACAAGGTCATAAAACTTGCAAAATGATGACTTCAAACGAGACTTTTGATATTCTTGTTTCATCAACTTGTTTGTCAATAGCTTGCCTTGTTCTAGAAATTGTTCTTACGTAGAGCATGCTCTTAAGTATCGAATCAACTGGGAAACATCATATGCAGGTGATATTGGTATATTTCTACATAAGTAAGGGAAGATGACGATTGAAAAACTGAAGTCATCACGGTTATCATAAAGCTTTGTTTTTAGGTTACCATTAAAGTCTTTTATTGTGAAAATTGTATTGTAAATCACGAATTTCATTTTAATTCTTTTTATGGATGGTTAATAAGCAATAAGCACGGTTTATTACCTGTTACCTATTAGTCTATTATATATCTCTCCACTGTATCAAAACGAACGAGTTCTTTACACCTTATACATGTACAACCATTCCCTACAATAAATTAAAAACTAGGCTTTTTGATATCACAGAAAACTGCTTCTTCAAATGGTATGAAACATGTATTTCAGACAAAATACGACCCAGTGATAGGTTGCTTTCTCAAACAAGGTCATTATAACGACTGTAGAATATGCGAAAAGCTGACTTTAAACGGGGTTGTTGAAATTCTTGTAGCATCAACTTATTTGTTACTATTTTTCCCTTACTTTGTTTGTCCAAATATAAAACAATAAAGTGCTGAATGAATAAAATACAACACGTATTATGTAGAAGCACTGCTAGCAAGTGCTTCATTCAATTATGTACATAAGTATTTATGTATAATTATGAAATACAACATCACAGCCTAAAGTCATTACAACCATTGTATCACTATCAGTCATTATGATACCTATATATCTTTAATTTCATGGCCCAACTATTTATACCCTATAATCATATGACGTTACCAAACAACTATTTGAACACATTTAGTAGCTTGCCTCGATTGAAAAAAAAGTGATCGTGCTCATAGCATAATCTTGTGTATGAATTAATTGAGAGACAAAAACATCATATGCAGGTGATTACTACATATTAAATAAAGGAACTTATAGTTGAAGATGGAAAAGCTGAAGTCATCTCGTTTGTCATCCAGTTTAGTAATTATTGGCCCTTATAGTTGTCCGTAAAACATCCAAATATGAATAGATGAGGCAGACTGTGGTGTCTTTCATTTCGAGTTCACTGGGATATATCTAGTCGAGATATAAATGGAAGTAACTATTGTTAATTGATAAAACACCGTCGACATATATATCCAAATTTCGAGATGAAGGCCACAGCAAGTGTTTTCTTCTTTTAATGTAGAAGTTTTGAATAAATTCTCCTTCATAGGAATAATAAAACAGGTCGGCTAATAAAGGAGCACAATTAGTGCCCATGGGTATTCCAATAGATTGTTGGAAGACCTGGTCTCCAAAGACAACAAAGATATTGTCAATGAGGAACTCCAGCATCATTTTAATATCAATTTCAGGGTACTTGTATATTGAATCAGCATTATTATCTTATAGGTATACGCCCGTTATGCAAATTATCCCACATTTCCAACTATCGTTGATGCCCTGGCATACCCAACAAACTAGACAGTGATTCATTATATACCTTTTTAAATTAAAAAAAAAAGTAACTAATCTATATTTTGTTAAAATTTGTTTTTTTTTTATCTATATACCTCGAATGAGTCGAAAATTAGATCCTTTGTTACCCAGCCACTGGAAAAGCCATATATGAATCCGTTATCGGAAAAAAGTCACAGCCGTGATAATGAGAATTATAATCAATACCGCAACCAGGGTGCACCGTAGTACTAATGTATGGGAAAAATATTCCTTGCAGATGACTTAAAAGTTTTTAATGAATATTTTCGACATTTTGGGAAATGAAACCGCCTATCCAGAACCGTTTAATACCATGTATATTGGTGTTTTTCCAACTTGCTTTGTGCTCTGGATACGAGAGCATCGAAATTTATAATTTTTCTAATTTGTACGAATGTGATTGGAATATTTATAATAATACAGAGATACTGAAGGAACTAAGGGTAAAATCTAAAGTTTCTTGTGCAATTCTTTGTCTTCAGTATGAAATGTCTTGTCGTGGTTTTGAACTATACAGAATGTCGTCTGTTACGTCCTGTCGCTTGTTCTACACGGCTTCGCGCCAAAACTGTGCACCGTCATCTTCATCGACATCGTCTTTTTACAGGCGGAAAATAACTTACGAAATGACTACTTCAATAATACTAACAACGACAATTACTGAGGAACTCACTACTTCTGTGATTTTACCAACAACTAGAGTAAGTACTGAACACAATCATTGAACAACATTTCTGTGTTTTTTTTAATCCTTTGTTGTCTCTGCAAAAGTATTTGTTTGTTAAAAAATATATATCTAAAAATGCTTTGCTTTGAAAAATAAAATAACAACTCCTATATAGCTGTAGCATGAAAGATAACATTGTAATACAATAAATGGATAGTAATAACAGTCTATGCTTGAAAAATCAAAGGGGAAAAGCGAACCACCAAAAGTGATGATCAAAGTACATCCAATTGTCAGTAAGGGAAAAGAGATTTTTCTAACAAACATTAATTTTCCACATGCACAACGGTCAAAGAGCACAAAGCTGGTTACTGAAATGAAACATGCCTTAATGGCTTTTATTTAAACAATTGTTTATCCAACTTCAAGCAATTGGGGATTTTTTTTTCCAAACAGGATAAAATCATTCATCTTATGTTTAAGTGATAAAATATCTTTCTCAAATTTTATGATTAATCGTATCACATGAGACTATCTGAGTAGTTTTGAGACATACTTTATATAAAACTTTTTTTTTTATCAAAATATAATTCGGAAAGTGACATAAGAATTCTCTATTAATCTATATTTCACAAAATCTTTTTTTGCTAACACATTTCACTCTAGCAGGCAAACTATTTGCATGATTTAAATGAGTATTCATCTATGAGGTGCCGTTTTGGTATTTACTGTCATTAAGTGAAATCACCTATTCGAAAGGTGATATCACCTATTCAAACAAATGATATCACTCATTCAAATTGAATAGGTGATATCACCAAATCAAATAGGTGACATCAACTATTCAAAAGCTGGATAAGTGATATCACCAATTCGAATAGGTGATATCACCAGAATGGGTGATATTGCTTAATGACAAGAAATACCAAAACGACCCATCATATTTATCTATCATATTTATAATAAAATAAAAAAATCAAGTATATACCTCAGCATCATAAAGCATTTTATCCCATGTTTACCCCTTTATCCCGTGGATATGACTCATTGGATAATTTTTTCATATACCACAGTTGTGACGTCACAATGGTTTTTGCGTTAGAGTGATGAAGTAAAATAAAGTGGAGTCCTGTATAAAACAGTGTAAAACATTGGATGTGAAGTATTAAAAATGGGATAAAAAGAATCTCCCATGATTTGTGGTTGGATATGACTTTTATCCAACTCGTTGTGTGTTTTATCCCCTCGCCAAGGCTCGGGGATAAAAAACACACAACTCGTTGGATAAAAATCATATCCAACTACAAATCATGGGAGATTCTATATTTATACGTTATTACGTCCTTTCCCCCCGTTATTACACCTTTTCATTTTAGAAATAAGATATCATTTTTAGAGTTTCACTGGGACATGGCATGAAGTATGACACCCGAAGGGCGTTATATAGTAGATTTGATCACGTACCAACTTCATGTCATATCCCATTGAAACTCTACAAGATGATATTTTATTTCTTGAATTTATATTTTTAATTTTATTCCTGTTACAAAGAAAAATTTCACTATTTAAAATGCAACATAACATACATGTACAACATTGTGTGTGGTCACAGATTCACAGTCTAGCCTTTCCAAGTCTCGTGTGCTTTGCTTTCCATACGCACCAACTTCATGTCATTGTATATTGAATGCTAATTTAATTCGTATTGTCATATAAGGAAAGGCATTGGTAAATGTAAATATTTTACGATAAAAAGCCTTTTACATTTTTTTCCGTAGTTATGATTCTAAGCTGTAATTCTAATGGGCTTTTGTAAATATTTGAATAAATGCCATCTTCTAGAATCAACCACCAGTTTTTTTATTACTTGTATTATTATTAAAAAAAACATTGGGTTGATCTTTTAAAAAATGGAATCAGTTTTCATCGTTGCTCCCTCCATTTACATGTACCTCTATATTCTAATAAAAACAATTTCAATGCAATTCATTCATTTGCGAGAAAGTGATTGGAAGAAAATCCAGAGGATATTTTTGATATTAGAAAGAACATATTGATCACAAAAATTTCAATGTCTCTGATTTGAAAACAGTATTTTTTAGAATTATTAAATGAAGATTTTGATACCAAAAACCAATTTTTTTAATACTAAAAACGATACTACTTTTTAATATAAAAAATCAATTTATGGCATCAATTGTTAAAAAAAATATATACAAAGAAAAATGTATTTTATGATATAACAATCTGAGTTTAAACATCAGAAAAAAAATGGCATAAAAAAAATAACTTTATATTTATTCTTCATCATGTTTCAGGATATTCTTTGCCAAAATGGCGGTACTCTGACCGGAAGCACGTGTTCTTGTGTGTTTGGTTGTTCTGGTCAATACTGCCAAACCTGTATTAATGGTAAGATAATTTTGACTGAATGTTTTACAATATTATTATTAGATATTATTGTTTTTACAAATCGGATTTTAGCTCAATTAGTTGTAGACAATAATCAAAGAAATAAAATAATCCCGACACTTTTTTGAAAATATACAATTTTTCCTATACATCATTATTTTTATCTTACACACAAGATGTGTTTGTGAAACACTGATGCCCCCGTATGGCAGCTTATGGCGAAGGTTAAAGTTTCTCAAATGCAAGTCAAAATCCAGGCAAAAGATAAAAAAATTTGGTACCCAGAGAAAGGTCTTGTCTCGAGGAATATACCTGTGAAATTTGAAAACCCTAGCCCCAGCTGTTCAAAAGTTATGGCGGAGGTTAAAGTTTTTTAAAAGTAAGTAAAACTTCAAGGTCAAGGTCAAAGTTGTTGGTATCCAAAGGAAGGTCTTGTCACAAGAATTATATATGTGAAATATGAAAGCCCTAGCACCAACCGTTCAAAAGTTATGACCAAGGTTAAAGTTTTCAAAAGTAGGTCAAACTCCTAGGTCAAGGTCAAAGGGTCAAAGTGGTTGGTATCCAAAGGAAGGCCTTGTCACAAGGATTACATATGTGAAGTATGAAAGCCCTAGCACCAACCGTTCACAAATTATGGCCAAGGTTAAAGTTTTTCAAAAGTAGGTCAAACTCCTAGGTCAAGGTCAAAGGGTCAAGGTGGTTGATATCCAGAGGAAGGTCTTGTCACAAGAAATACACATGTGAAGTTTGAAACCCCAAGCACCAACTGTTCAAAAGTTATGGCCAAGGTTAAAGTCTCATAAAATTTTACAAAAGTGGGCCAAACTCCAAGGTCAAGGTCAAAAGGTCAAATATGATGGTACCCAAAGAAAGATCTTGTCACAAGGAATACACATGTGAAATATGAAATATGAAAGTCATAGCTCCAATTAATCAAAAGTTATGGGCAATGTTAAAGTTTTTACATGGATAAGATATTGCTTACATTTTATTCCTTTACATATTTGAAATCAAATCAATAACAACTTGAAAAATCATATTTTTTGTCTGATATTGCAATCAAATTTTGTAGCAAAAAGAACATTTCCCTTTTTAGCTCACCTAAGCCGAAGGCTCAAGTGAGCTTTTCTGATTGAAATTTGTCCGTTGTATGTCGTCGTCGTTGTCGTTGGCGTCGTTGTAAACTTTTAACAATTTCATCTTCTCCAGAACTACTGGGCCAATGTCAATCAAATTTGGCACAGAATATCCTTGGGTACAGGGGATTAAAGTTTGCTTAAATGAAGGGCCACACCCTCTTCAGAGGGGAGATAATTATGAATTTGTGAAAAATTATTGACATCTTTTAAAAATCTTCTTCTCAAAACCACTGGGCCAGGAAAGATGAAACTCACGTGGAATCATCCTCAGGTAGTGTAGATTCATGTTTAGTCAAATCATGACCCTCGGGTGTAGGGTGGGGCCACAATGGACGATAAAAAATTTACATAGGAATATATAGGAAAAATCTTTAAAAATCTTCTCAAGATCAGCAAAGCCATGATTGGTCATATTTATATGGAAGTATCCTCAGGTGATATAGATTCAAGTTTGTTCAAATCATGACCCCCGTAGGTAGGGTGGGGCCACAATGAATGATCAAAATTATACATAGGAATATATAGTAAAAATATTTCAAAATTTTCTTCTCAAGAACAGCAATATTAATGCCATGATTGGTCATATTTATATGGAAGCATCCTCACATGGTGTAGATTCAAGTTTGTTCAAATCATGACCCCCGGAGGTAGGGTGGTGCCAAATGGACGATCAAAGTTTTACATTGGAATATATTGGAAAAATCTTTTAAAATTTTCTTCTCAAGAACAGCAATAGTAATGCCATGATTTTTCATATTTATATGTAAGCATCCTCAGGTAATTTAGATTCATGTTTAGTCAAATCATGACCCCCGGAGGTAGGGTGGGGCCACAATGGACAATCAAAGCTTTATATTGGAGGATATAAGAAAAATCTTCTCAAGAACAGCAAAGCCATGATTGGTTATTAACTATTCGGAAGTATCCTAAGGTAGTGTATATTCATGTTTGTTCAAATCATGACCCCCTAGGGATAGAGTGGGGCCATAACTGATGATTAAAGTTATTATATACATAGGAATATATAGGAATTTTTAAAAAAAATTCTTCTCAAGAACAATAAAGGTATGATTTGTCATATTGATATGGAAGCATCCTCAGATAGTGTAGATTCACATTTGTTCAAATCAAGACCCCCGGGGGTAGGGTGAGACTATAATGAAAGTTCAAACTTGTAGGAAAAAAGTCGCAGTTAGTCAAAGAAATACATGTATTAAGCATCTTTAGTTGGTGTAGATTTAATTTTGTTCAAATCATACCCACCCACCCCTTCTTAGAGGTAGGTCTGGACCACTGATGCATTAAAGCTTTTCAATACTGGGGTTTTTTTTCTAGCCACAGTACTCAGGTGAGCGATGTGGCTCATGGGCCTCTTGTTAGTAATTATTTATAATTTGGCGTTATATACCAGTTTTGTTTTCGTCGTTCTCTTGTACTTAACCTGAAGATACTAATAATTGGTTTTTCATTTGAATCATCATCATCATCATCGGCTTTTTTTCATCAAATTGTACCTGATGATCTCCATGGGGTGCTGTTACTATTTGAGCATAAGAGTCGGCATCTGGTAACTACTCCTGAGTCTTGTAACGCTGAGTTATCTCTCAATCGCAGCTATTCTCTTGGTATCAGCATTAAAAGTTCTATACTGGTTAGTATGAAGCTTTGCTCTGTGAGTTACTTTTAACATCTTTCTTTGAAATCGGTTTCATATTTTCTGTCTTGCTCTTGGTGTAGGTTTAGGTCTAGAATAGATGTAAAGCGATTATTGTCCACAATCTCTATATCGAAATTCCTATGTGATATTTTCTGTTTGTTGTTCACAGTTTCTTTTCTACTACATAAACTGGAATATCTTTGATGATTGTTCTTAAACTATGTGCGATTGTCCTTCCCACATACATGTCTGCTATTTTATGTTTTACAAGAAACTTTGTCCTCATGCCTTTTTTGATGCCCTTGATCTTATCATATTATTTATCTCTTTCTGTCTGGTTTTGTCGGCAAATTCTTAACTCGCTAGTCTTGCTTTCATTCTATCTCCACGATTCTCTTTATAACCATTCAGTTTTCCATATTTTTTCTGGTTGAAGTTTAACACTCAATCTGTTAGAATCTAGTGTCTTTTCTAAAGATAAGAAATTTGGTGTCTTCCCATATCTTTCATGCCCAGTAGAATTATAATCTTGTACATGAGGTACATTATACTCTTTCCTCTTCCTTTTTTATATGACCCTTAATTAAGTTCCTAGCCGGGCGCGTAGCTGCCTATACGCAAGTGCGTACACATCATTTTCCAAAAAAAAAAGAAAGAAAAAATCTAGGTGAGAGAGGGAGAGAAAGAGAGAGAATCTCAATATCATTCAGCAAATATTTTTGTTTCACATCATTATTTTTTGGGGTCATATTAAAATTTTTCATGTCTATACAATCAAATTTGAAATTCGTTATAAAGTCGTTGCCAAATTCAAATAAATCATTCAATACTTTTTAAGTGTTCTATATGAGAGATTGACAATTTTTTAAGATGTTTGAGAAATTAAATTTTAATCATATCGTTGAATGACTTGATCAAATAGTATACGATCTAAAACACAGTATTCTTTTTCTACTAACATTTATTTACTTGTTGTTGAACATCATACTATAATAAGAATATATATGGATAAATATCCAGATTCAAGTACATGTAAAAATAAGTTTCCGTGGAAGTTAAACTGCGTTGCAAACAATATTACTAAGAAAAGCAAAACAACATACATGTATTTCCTGCAAGAAAGTGATTGAAATATTTGGTAAAACCCGGGAGTTTCGTCCCCTGGGCCCCCACCACGGCTTAATTCGACATGGACCTACTGGGTGCCTCAAGGCGGCCCCCAGACCCCCTGCCGTTCTCTGCGTACACTTCACTTACATTCTGGCTACGCGTCTGCTAGCATATCAAATAGTGTTCTATTGAAACGTTCTGTCATTCCATATCCCAGGGGTAGGACAAAGTCAAGTTGTGGAGAAAATTGAAACATGATTTTCTTAGAAATCACCAATGATCTCGGCTTTTAGCCCACCCGACCAAAAGGCTCAAGTCAGCTTTTCTAATCGAAAAGTGCCCGGCGCCCGTTTGGCCGTCTGTCTGTCTGTTGCGTGTCTTGTGTTGTCTCAACTTTTCACATGATTGACTCTTCTTCATGGCCCTTAGGTCACAACAGGGGAAACAAAATTATACATAGGAATGTATTAGAGAAATCTTTAAAAATCTTCTGTAGATTCAAGTTTGTTCAAATCCTGACCCCCGGAGCTAAGGACAGGGTCACAATCACAACAGAAGATCAAAATTTTATATAGAAATATACTGTATATAGAGGAAAAAATTCTGAAAACCCTCTTAAACTTTTTATTAGTCAAATTCAGCTATTAAATGTAGATTCCAATTTGTTCAAATCATCCCCCTTAGGAAGTAGGTTGGGGAACTTCATTTAAATTAAAGACTCGTATTGGAAAACTAAAAGGCAATTTGCAAACAAACTACCCTTCCGTTTTCACTAAATCGGAGGTGAAAAAAGAATTAGAAAGACAACATTAACAATATGTTATGGTTCCGACAGAGAAGGCTTGTATTAATGTCGTCTTTGTTTTAGAGGCTAATTGAACATTATAACTGTATTTTAGAAGAAATTAATTCTACGTCTAGAAATCCAACTTATACCCACAGATCTTTTTCTAAGGATGAAATTCTTCAAAATTACATTTCAGTGTAAAACACTTCTGACATTTCAGTCGTACAAGGTGAGTTCTATCTATCCTACTTATACTGGATTCCTAAACTTCATAAAAAATCCTTACAAAGATACATTGCCAAGTCCAGCAAATGCACTATCAAGCCGCTATTTTTACTCCTTACAAAAATATTAACTGTACTAAAGGAGAAACTTCAGATGTACTGTGCTACAGTATATTCTAGAAGTGTTGTAAATCAAATGTGGATTCTCAAATTTTTTTAGAAAAATTGAAACCACCGACCTCCAATTTTTCAAAGGTCGATAACATCAACATGTATATTTCTACACTTTACACAACCATTCCTCACGATAAATTAAAAACTAGGTTTTTTTGATGTTTTAGACAGCTGCTTCTTCAATAAAAATGGAACTTGGAAATTTTCGTATCTTGTGATTGGTCATCAACAAAATTACTTTGTTAAAATCACTCTGATTCTACACAAGTACTCTGAAGTTGATATTAAAGGATGCGGGAGTTCCTCATTGACAATGTATATGTAGTCTTAGGATACCAAGTCTTCCAACAATCTGTTGGAATTAAGATGTGCTCCTTTATTAGCCGATGTTGTAATATTCCTATGAAGCAGAATTTATTTTTTTTAAAAATCTACATCAAGAGAAATCACTTGTTGTGGCTTTCAATTCAACATTCATATATCGACGACGTTTTATCAATGAACAATAGTTACGTCCATTCATATGTCGACTCGATATATCCCAGTGAATTTGAAATAAAGACTCCACAGAGTCTGCAACATCTGTGTCATATTTTACTTATCGATGAACGATAAGGACCACGATTAGACGATAATGACCAATGAAATATGAAGATAAGGAACAGTATTCAATATCGAAAGTCCAATAAACGATACAAATTTGGAGCAGAGCATCAAAATTTAGAGGTGAGATCAGGTGCCATGGAGGAGTGAGCATCTCCGGCTGATCAGTCACACCCGCCGTGATCCGTGTCATGATCGGAAATAACAACAAAATTGTATACAAACGAGATGACTTCAGCTTTTCCATCGTCAACTTTTTTTATTATATAGTAACATTCCGCTATCACCTGCATATAGTGTTTATGTCTTCTGTTACGTGTTCTGGGTACGATGAATTTTTAAACCAAACCGGGCTATTGACAGATAAGTTATGTTACAGGGATTTCAACACCTTGTTTAAAGTCAGCACTTCTAAATTTGTATGATCATTATAATGACATTGTTAGCAATTATAACCTATCAAAGGGTTGCATCTTGGCTGACGTTTTTCATGCCAATTCTTCGGAATTTGTTTTTACACTGAATTTGACTAGAATTGTTTCGTCTACCTGAACAATACATAGGGCTCGCGGCTGGTGTGACTGGTCAACAGGGGGTGCTTACTCCTCCTAGGCACCTGATCCCACGTCTGGAATTTCCGGGGATCCTTGTTTTATGCCCCGTTCACAGATTTCTATTGTTGTGTTGGTAGATTTTTTGAGATCGAATCAGTGTTCGTTATCTGCGCCTTTTTCGTTCAATTCTGGCTGATTTCTGCTTTTCTCTAGAGAAAGTGCTCAGGTGAAAGATGGGCATCTTGTTGCCCTTTCTGACATCTTTTTTTTTTACACTCTCAAATCTTTAATGTAATTTTGCCCAATTCATCTGATTACGAAAACTTTTCTATATTGCTGATCCTCAAATTCGCCCAAATTGTCATTAATTGCTAGACCTTCAGCTGTTGCAGATCTGTTTGGCTTTGACGTTCTAATTAATATTTTACTCACACCTGATGAATATGTTAGTTTAGATAGTTATCTACATCAGCGTTACTATAAATAACATCCAAGTCAATTTTTTTAAAAAACGTTTCGCTTGAAATCTAATTTAGTTGAAGTAGTTATAGAGGATTGTTGTCAGTGTAAGCTATTGTTGAAGTTATAAAAATTCGGTCTGAAGGCCCACCTTTATCCAAAAACATTTGACTTATGCGCTTGATAGCGTTTTCTTAGATCAATTTAAACTCCAACTGGCATAATTAAATATTCTTGTACATTCCTTGCTCTTGATTAAGAACTGCTACTACTCCATTGCGACTAGCATCAACATGGCTATTGATAATTTGGAAATCCAAAAATTGGTGGCTTGGCAAAATGTTGTTACAGCTATTCAAAAGCACTCTCTTCTTCTCCTCATTTCAGTTTTTGTGTGTTGCACAATGGTATAGAAAATAATGAATTTCAAGCTTAGCACCATCTTCGCTAGCCAAGGGTGACGATCCGCTCCTCTTCTCTTTTCAGGGGAGAGGAGCGAAGATGGCTTAGCACAAAAGTATCATTTGATCAAGATGTGCATTTACGTTTGATAAGTTTTTAAAAACCATTTCGAAGTCACATGAACTCGAGATCACACGAAGAATGTAATTGTTGTCCAATCCAAGACTCTGTTTTGAAGAAAGTTAGAATTTCAAGTTTCACAAAGAAACTTGTAATCAGAAGGTGAATTTGATCCTTATCTGGTACCTTGTTTTTGGATTGGAAAAATATTACATTATAATGACAATATTATGATAACAATTATAACCTATCATTGGGTCGTGTTTTGGTTGATATACATACATGTAATATCAATTGTTTGTCCTGTGTTTTTATGGTAAATTTGACCACGGAATATTCCGTCTACCTGATTTATTAGTATACGTAGCTTATGGCAGTTGTGACCGTTCGGCAGGGGATGTTTACTCCTCCTAGGCACCTGATCGCACCTCTGGAATTTCCGGGGGTCCGTTTCTATGCTCTGTTTAAAGATTTCTATTGTTTGAATTTTTAGGCCAATCACCGTTAATTTCACCTTTTCATTGCATTCCTACGTTGATTCGATTTATGCCATTGGACTCGAAATAAAGACAACACAGTCTGACACATCTGTTTCATATTTGAATGTTTTACTAGAGAAAGACATTGATGGCAATTTGATAATTAAACTTTATGATAAACACTTGAATTTTTCTATAGTCAACTTCCATTTTTTAATATAGCATTATACCATTATCCCCAGCATATGGGATTTATTTCGCCCAGTTGATTCGATACACATGATCATGTTCTTCGAATGAACAATTTATAAAACAAGGCAGGATACTGAAAAATATGTTGATGATACAAGGATATGTTTAATGTCAATAATTTGCAAATTCTACAGTCGATGACCTTACTTGCAAATACAATTCATCGTTTGGTCGAATGTTGAGGGACGTCTTCCGTACAAATTTCTTTGCCCTTTTTTCACATTAAAATGTCCACTATCTGTCTACTATGTCTAGTTTTGTTGTACCTGATCATGACAAAGGGTACACGGCGGGTGTGACAGGTCGATTTGGGATGCTCACTCCTCCATGGCACCTCATCCCACTTCTTTTTTTCAGAGATTCTTGATTTCTCTGCTCACAGCTTGTATTATTTAAATAGACTTTTGAGCATGATTACTGTTCTTCACAATTTATTAAAGATTTTTGATAATATCTAGTTTTTTTTTTCAATAATGATAATTAATGAAATATGGAGATAATGAACAGTAATCAAGCCCAAAAGACCACTGAAACTAAATTTTAACTTTATTTTTTATTTTGATTAGAATGTAAGGATGCAACTGGGGTATCTGGAACAGGCATAGCTTGGATAAAGCCGAGTGGATTCGATGTTGCAAAGCAGGTCTGGTGTAATTTTGACCACGGTGTAACATATTTCCAAGTACGCAAATTTGGAAATGTCAATTTCAATCGTTCTTTTGCCGAGTACGAAAATGGTTTCGGTGACGCAAATGGGGACTACTGGCTCGGGAATAGGTATGTGTATATACTGACTAACTTGAGAGGATTTAATGCTGGATTTACTCTGATGAAATCTGGTAATAGCGTCAAGATATATTACTATGATTTCGTTGTATTGGATTCAACGGCCAGCTATGCAGTACAATACTCGTCAACAAGCTCAGCTTCATACCCGGCATTCAATGGTAAAGCATTCCAAGCATACGATACTGTAAGCGCATGCGCTCTGTCAATTGGTTGCGGTTGGTGGTTTGGATCAACATGTTCTTCTGGAAGTCTAAATGGACCATATCCAGTGGCTTACGGAGTGTATTCTGGAGCTACAACCACATGGATAGGAATATATTGATGTCAGATGGACTTTTCAAAACGTTCTTATGACCCCATCTTATGTCTTTTAGACCAATATTCAGATGAATTCTCTTCTTGATTGTTTGGGGAGTCTAATACATAATCATACTCGTCCAATATTTTAATCATACCATTCCAGTATCTTGACGCTTCCAGTTCAATATTTAACCAAATCCGGACTGTTAACCGAGATGAATACCAAGAGAAAAATCCAACTCGAAGACGTTTAAAACGTGTCGTGATTGTTCAATCTACGTAATAATGAAACATTTCAAATTTTATCATTTTTCCAACAATTACCTTTATACAACATTTAATACATATCTAGTTTTATTTAAATTTGGAGATGTTCTTTGATTAAGTAGTGCTTTTAGCAAATCGGTTATGATTTTTTTTTTTTTTTTTTTTTTTTTTTTTTTTTTTGCTCGCTTTGCTCAACGTTTTGGATTTAGCATATAACTACAAAGACATATTCTGATATTATATTCCCAAGTAAATTACTTGAATTTGATTCATCGAGCAACATTTGTTAAAAACACTATTTCCCTCTGAATGATGAAACCACGCCCTCCAGCGCGAGAGAACTTAGCAACAGTCAACATTGCTTGACGATCGGTGATATTGCCAAAAAAAAAAAAAAAAAAGACTGCGCGGAATCAAAGCGCCCTCCACCTTTATTTGTATAAAACATATCAGTATAATATGATAGATACTGCATGTAGTTAAGGGTAACATGGAAAATTCTAACCCCAAGAAAACCATTAATTGTCAACATCGGCTGCGCCTCGGTTGACAATGGTTTTCTATGGTTGAAAATTTTCAATGTTGCTCTCAACTACATGCAGTATATATTATAATAGTATATTTGTGGCCTCAATGTACCGAAATTACATGCATGTTTTTACTGAAGATTAATATGTTAAAGCAAATGTATATAATAAACATTTAAAAAATTGAACACGGTGAGCAAAACATGCGATAAAAAGAAGAAAAAATAGGAGTTGTTTTCACAACAATAGTAGCACCAGTCAAGGTTAGATATTTTTATCTACATGCTTATACGTAATTCTCTTCATAAATATTTTTCTATTTTAATTTACCAAAAATTTTCTGTCAAAATAAATGAAATATCCGATGTCTGTAATATTATCAGTGATGAGTATGAAAAAGCATGCTTCTTTACTGAATGAAACTTCTTGAGAAGGTCTAGAACAATTAATACATCACTGCTCAATATTGATTTATTTTCATTTTTCAAAGGGACTAGATTTATTGTATTTTCATCAGGTTTAAATTTTGGACTTAAACATGTTTTCATTCAATATTCTTTGGAAAAAAAAATATACATTTTCATCTAAATCTTCAAAAGAACCACGTAATTCTTTCTGGGGAGTTCTAGTATACATATAAGAATTAATGCCATTCTGCAGTACGTTTTGATCAATAGACTGACGTCGATCACAATGATAATTAATTAACGTTTCTTACCATATAAAACAGGTTCGAACACTGACTAGTGAAATGAGATTTATTGAGACAATGATACTGAAACAATAATGAAACAAACAAAAAAAATCCTGACGGAATACCTTGCGTTGCAAATAATGAAAGAGAAAAATATTGAAAGTATGCATATATACCTACGGCACATTTTAAATGATTAATTAACAAATTAGGTTGATCGATTTTAAGATTATTTAACTAAACCATTTTGAATTTTTTTTAACACCAAGGTTTTCATATTTGGTATCCAACTAAGTTTATGTTCTCGCTTATTTGGAGTGAGACCATATTCCTTTTGTTTGTGTAACATCAAATCATATTCCTTTTGTTCTTGTAACCTTTTGTTCGTGTAACATCAAAACATATTCCTTTTGTTCTTGTAACATCAAAACATATTCCTTTTGTTCGTGTAACATCAAAACATATTCCTTTTGTTTTTGAAACATCAAAACATATTCATTTTGTTCGTGTAACATGTTCATTGACAATATGTTAAGAAGTGATCTTTGTTTTCGGGTTTACTCTCTTTCCTCTTCTTTTTAATTGCCAAAAGAAAACCACTAAGACTCGTGTCTTTCGACAATTAAAAAGATTAAAGAATTTCAAGAGTTGAAGAAAAAACTTAACAGGCACCTAATAATAATAAACCTATATTTCTCATTCCATTCCTGTAGTAAATATTGCTAAGTACAATATAGAAGGAACACAACGGTGAGTAAAGTTCGATAGGGTGACAATTGTTTGCTATTACGTGAATATTCATTTTAATCAGTATGGCATTTTTGTTCTAGGTTATTGATTATCTTAACATATTTTTTAATTAAAGAATTGTAAGTAAACAAAAATTTCTATTTTTAAATAAAATGAGTATGCTGATTATAATCTTTCTTTTTTAAAAAAAAAAATATGGAAGCAAATTGGAAAAGATATTTATGGATTGTACATGGCTGTCTTCTGAGATGTTGTTATTACAAAGTTTTGTAGTCCGTGAGTTTGGAACTCATAAGTATATACTAGTATAAGGTATTTGTCTAGGATAAAGCAGCTGAGAGTCAGAATCTGGTGCTATTTAAACAAATTATTCGTTTTAGCATTTCGTAGAGAAATGTATGTAGTCTATACAATACATCTACTACTTTACTAATTCCGTATAAGATATCGTCAAAGCTATTTTGAATTGCTCAACCATTATTTGTATAAAGTAAATCTTGTTTGGTTTGGTATTTCATTAATAATGATAATGTACGACGATTATTCATACCTTTCCCCACATGATGAACTGCGATCTATGCAGTAGGCAGTAAAAATAACTGTTCCTACTCTGCATATTAAATTGGGAGAATCACCAGCATCGCTGCATGATCCAAAAGTGGATTGGATCTACAATCGAACTATGAATAGCTTTCTTAAGTAAATATATTTAAAAAATATTAAGTTACTTATGGTATTCTACCATATTTTAAGTTTGAGAATAATCTCTTAGATATTCCCCAACTGTTGCTTCCTTTTATATGAAACAAACCTTACAGTGCCTAGATACAGACCATATTAAACAAAATCCTCGTTCGTGATTTGTTCCTTATCTTATGTTAACTACAGTCATGCTGGACTCAACATTACTAGTCATGTAAATATATTTCAAAAAGAAAACCTGAAAGCAATTTCAAAAGGCCCGAAATTCGGGGAGTCCCGATCTTTCAAATGGCGAAAGAACTTCAAAAATTCTACTATGAACTGTGGCGAGGATTAAAGTATGCCAGACGATACGTTTAATATATAAGGAAAGACCTCGACAATTTGTCAGAGTGTGTTAAGTGTTTTAGAAAGTATATTAAAGAATTGTATGATATATGAATTATAAAGGCAAAATACGTACCATCTGTCCTACCGCTTTCAGTAAATTGGAAGTGATAAAAGAATTTAAAAAAAAAAAGACTAAATGAATAATATGTTATGTTCCAACTAAAAAGGCTTGTAAAAATGTAGGCTTTGTTTGTAAGGCTGACAGTAAGAACTCTATTGGCTTTAACTTCAAATCTGGAAATTCATCTAATACTCATTATTCGCTTTCACAGGATAAAAGTCTTCAAAATCACATTTCGGTTTTAAATATTTTTTATGCTGGAGTTCGCGATTGAATTTACATATATAGTCTTTGGAGACCAGATTATCCATCAATCTGTTGGAATTTACATTGTCAAATTGTGTTCCTTTATTAGCCAGCCTCTTTTCTTGCTCTTTTTAAGCAGAGTTTATAAAAAAAAAAACCTTCTACTTGAGAAGAAAAGTATTGCTGTGGCCTTCAATTCGAAATTTAAAAATATCGACGACTTTTTTTATTAAGTAGGTTGGATCCTGCTACCAAAAGTCTGAAGAATTTTTTGTCAGGTATAATTTTAGTATTTACACACATAGCTTAATTAGAAATCAAAACAAGAAGGTCAGTACACTTTTATTGGCATTACGGTGCATTAAATATGACGTTTTTTCACTGATATTAAACATAAATCACTTCTTGAAAGTTTTTCCTCCAATATTTTTTATCCAAATAATCATGAGACCAAATATACTCTTATTCAATCTTGAAAAGACACGTTAACAATTGTTACAAAGGTTTCAAATAACTTCGCATAATCAATTTTTTGACCTTTCTGCACTCACAAAATGTCATTTTTCTGGCAATAAAAAGTTATCATGCAAGAGAATTATTTTAAGGTCTTAATTTTTTACCGAATTTAAGCAGAATGGTCAGAGTAATCTTATATATTAAGAAAAGTAAATCAAAAGTGTGGGTCAATGATGTAAAGTTTTAGATATTACTAAAAAAAAGTGTTAATCTTAAGTTAAAATTGCCCCTTTTCCCCTTGGACTTTCAGAATATATTTGCTACAGTATCAGTTGTCACAGTATGACAATGTAATTCATGAAAGTTAATTTAATAAATATTTCAACATTTTACTGCACAATATATCTCTGTGTGCGGCCTGCATGGAAAAATAGGAATCCAAACTGAACAGAACTGTAAATACTTCGAAAGAGAAAAATTAATCATTTTCTTCTCCTTCTTCTTCTTCTTCTTCAAAAAAAAAAAAAAAAAAAAAAATCCCACCACAAAGTAAAGTTCTTCACTTAATACTTTTTGCATGGAATTTAATCGAGGGTTTTTAATTAAGTACAATTTAAATTGCATCACAGATTCCGAATTTAATGTAAGAACTTAATGATGGAAATAAAGGTCCACTGCTCAAAAGTTCAGGATCGGACCTCCTTAACAATAGATACTTTCATTTATATGTCGACTCGAAATACTCCAGTGAACTTGAAATAAAAGACATCAGAGTATGCCAAATCTGTTTCATAGTTTCATAGTTTGGGTGAATTACTGACTATAGACCTTGATAGCATATTTACAACTAAACAATATGTATATAAAAAAAAAACAAACAAACAAACAAAACAAAACAAAACAAAATTGGGGGCGATTTCAACTTTTCCATAGTCACCTTCCCCTATTTATATAGTACATATAACATTCCACTATCACTTGCATATTGAGTTTATGTCTCATTTGATTCAGCGATTTTAAGCAAGCGTATGATTTAAGTCCGATCAATTTTTAAAAACGAAGCAGGCTACCGACAAATA